AATTTTATTGATTAGCAATAAACGATAAATCTAACAAGCAATGATTATCAATTTTGCAAATTCCATCTAGTATTAGTGATTGGAACTTAATTACAAATTAATTTTAATTTCTAAATTAAAATTAGTTTATAGAGATAGCAAGAAAGAATGAAAAAGAAATAATTATTAAATAGCATGATTAATTTTAAGAAATTTTGAAAAATGTTATAAAATTTTTTTACTTTGACATTTTATTTGCTTTTAAAAATTTGTTAGAGCGTAGCGATTGTTTTAAAAAAAAAAAAATTTTTTTTCACTTCAAATTCTTTTTTTTTTCTTTCAAAATAATTTTTATCAGAAAAGTTTACATGCAGAATACATTGAAGTTTAAGAAGGATTTATTGATAAATTAATCGATAGATAAGAAAGATTTCAGTGATATAAATAGTTATCAATGATTGATCTTTGATTGTCATTTCAAGAATTTCTTCTAATTGTCATTGCAACAATTTCTTTTGATTGTCATCGCAAGAATTTATATTCTTCAATCTATTTATCATTCATTACCTGCTGTTATCACTAATAATTGCTTTAATTTTACATTTTCATTATCAAAATTTTTTGAATGAAATTTTTGCAGCTTTTTTATCACTGATTTTGTGATAACAATTTCAGTAATAATTCGTGCTATCACTATCATCAATATTATTTAATCATTAATTATTATTAATTAATATTATTAATTAACATTGTTCTTTTTTTTATTATTATCATTATTATTGCTGCAATAACGCTGCTGTTAGTAATTTTTGATAATAAAATGTGTTATATGACATTTGTAAATTATTCAAATAATCATATAAATTTTTAATTTATAAATTATTTTTAAAATTTATCAAATTTTATATTTCATTTATTAGATTTCATTTGTTTTAAAATGAAATAAAATTGTTTGAGAAAGACAATGGTAGAAGAAATATAGATGTGAAAAAAAAAAAAAAAAAAATTAGAATAATTCAACGAGGATGTTAAATTGCATTTAACATTACTTCCAAATGCATAGCTAAGTTTTTAGCTTAAATTTTTAGCCTAAAAGTTCTTAGCTTAATGCAATCTTTTCTTTCTGGAATGCATTAACAAAAAGCCATTAACAATAGTACTTTGTTTTCCATTTTTGTCTTATTTCAATGACTTATTTATCATATATTTTAATATTAGCATCAAAATTAATTGAATCTTAAAATAATTATTTAATTACATTTCCTCACATATTTTATTCTTTTTTTTTTTTTGATAAATTTGTTTCATTATTTTTTATTTTATTTTTTTTTTGAAAATGAGAGAAAAAAAAATGCAAAAGATATTTTAAAATTTTTATTTGAATATTTTACATAATGCAAAAAAATTTTTTTTTTTTTTATTGTTGAAACTAGCAATAAAGTAATTATTTTATATTTATTTGAAGTCTAAAAAGAAAAGAAAAGAAAAGGAAAAGTAAAAGTGCATTACATAGAATGAATGACCTTTTTACTTTTTCCGTCTTTTTTTTTTCTCATTCATATTTTATTAAGCAAAAAAAAAAAAAAAAAGTTAACCGGAAGAGCTCTAACATCAATTCATCCATCATTTTTACTTTCTTAATTGCTACTATTTCATAGAAATAGTAGCAATTATTTTTTTTTATACGTTGTATGTGCGTGTCTGTACGTGTATGTATGTATGTGTAATATGTATGTGTGTGTGTGTGTGTGTATACGTGTATGTGTGTATGTATACGTGTATGTGTAATGTGTATGTGTGTGTGTGTGTATACGTGTATGTGTAATGTGTATGTGTGTGTGTGTGTATACGTGTATGTGTAATGTGTATGTGTGTGTGTGTGTGTGTATACGTGTATGTGTAATGTGTATGTGTATGTGCTCATTTCGTATACTGAAATTTTCTCGTAAAAAAAATGTTATATCAAATTGTCACAACCAATGTGACAGCTTTGTTAAGGAAATTAAAGTCGCAACCAATGTGACAGCTTTGTTAAGGAAATTAAAGTCGCAACCAATGTGACAGCTTTGTTAAGGAAATTAAAGTCGCAACCAATGTGACAGCTTTGTTAAGGAAATTTATTACTTTTTGTTTGTTTAGTAAATTTATTGAATTAATATTCAAACAAATAAATTTACTAAACATTTTCATTTTAATTTAAAAGAAAAAAAAACGCAATTTATTCATTTTAATTGTTTATTTGTTGAAAAAATAAAATAATTTATTAAAATTACACTCTTTATTCTCGTTTGTTTTTTTTTTTTATTTTTACTTTTTATTTATTTTGAATATTTTACTAAATTGAATTGAATGTTTCATTTAAAAAAAAAAAAAAAAGGAAAAGAATTAGTTGAATTTTATAAGAAAAAAAGGTGGAAAAAAAAATGAAAATATGTGCATTTTATTTTTATTCTTTTTCTTCAAAAATTTGCTGAACAAAAATTATTTATTTCTATTAGAAAAAAAAAGAAAAACAGAAATAACAATAAAATGTAATATGGTTGATTCATGCGAAAAATTTGTTATAAATTTATTTTATTTTTTATTGATGATTTAATCATCAATGATGAATCATTATTGAAATAATAAATATTCAAACTTATATTAAGTATAAAATTTTGATTTTTAAATAGGAAATGATTGATTGATATTATTAAGGTAAATAAGAAAAAAGGATGCAAACAAAAAAAAAAAAAGAAAATACTAATAAAATAAGAATACGAATAAAATATTAATGCAATAATTTATAAATGTAAAAATGGAAAAATATTAGAAAATATTATAATAATTTAAAACAAATAAATGTAAAAAGTAATATGCAAATTACTATATTAATTTATAAAATAAATAATTGAAATACGTAATATGTAGGTGGAAATAAATAGATAATTAAATTTGAATAAAATATATAATTAATTGACGTATGTGAACGAGTAAATTAATTAAGTATAATAAATTTAGATATGTTTAATTAAATAAAATGAGAAGAATTGAGAATTTTTCATACATTTTCGCATTATATATTTTATCTAAAAAATAATCTTTGATAATTCAAACTAAAATATTTTCATTTGATATCATAAAAATGAATTCTTTCATATTATAGCTATTGTATTCTACCTAAAAAAAGTGCTAATTTTTTTTTTTTAAATTATTTATTTATTTTGATATTTCCGATATGATTTTTTATTGATTTAAAAAACCAAAAAAAAAAAATAAACTTTTAAATTCCATCAAATTTCAATGTAAACTAAGAATGATAAGAAAAAGTGAAACTTTTTTCTCCTTTTTTTTTTCTTTTGCTAAAATAAAAAGAAAAATTTTAAAACAAAAAAAAAAGAAACGAAAATTTTAAGTTTTACATTTCTTTGAACTAATTTCTTCCCAGATTATTCATACATTTTTATTTATAATGATAAGATTAATTGATAAAATTATCATTTCATATGTTATTACTATAATTATTATAAAAATAATAATTATTATTGGTATAACAATTTCACTAAAATATGAAAAAAGAAAAAGAAAATGAAGTTTGCTTGAGTATTGTCATTAATTGATGCTAAAATTTTCAAAAATAATCACAAAATTACCCGAAATATTAGCAAACAATAATTGGAAACAAACAGAAAAGAAAAATGAATTTCAAATTTCAAATTTAAATAAAAATTTGAGTATTAATAGAAATTTTCTTTTTTCTTTTTATAATTGATCAACAGATATATGATGCATTATCATCTCTTATCATCTTGTTTTTATCACTAAAAATAACATTTCATTTCCTCTTCATTCTTTATTTCTTTGCCTCAATTTTCTCACAAATTAAACAATCCATCTTTTTTTTTTTTTGTCAACAAGCATTTGTTATGTTAAAGTTAAAATTTGTTTTTTCTTTTTACATTTTATTTTAGTTAAAAAAAAAAAAAATTTTTTTTTCAATTTTATTAATTTAATGATAAATTAAATTTGAATGTAAATAATTGTAACATTCAGAGTTGAAAATTTTTATATGTTATTAATTAAATGATTCATTAGATATATCGATTTGAATTAAATTTTCAAATGCATTTAATTCTGCTAAATTTATACAACTATTCTCTTTTTTGCTTTCATTTTATTTCGCTCTTTTTTTTTTGCTGAAATTTAAAATTATTATAGTTTTATTCCTTTAAATGACAAATGTATTAGCAGACATAATGATTGCAACAAAATTAGAAAAATGCATTTAATTTCATCAATTTTAATAATGTTCCTTTTTTTTTTTTTTTTGTACCCAATCTTTCGTTTTTTGATTTTAAAATTATTTCATTTTAATTTTGTTAAATGCATGGTTCATAGAAGTATATCGTTTTATGCATATAAATAAGCACTTTCAATTTTAAATCTTTTTTAAAAAAATAAAAATATTTTTTAAAAAAAAGATGAAAATAAATTTTTATCTATTTAAAATTGATAATAGCAATTTTTAATTAAAATGTTCAATTATTATTTGTAAATTAAAATAATCTGCAACAATTATTAGTTATATTTTTGAAAACAAATCAAATATTTGTTTATTTTTCTTTTTCTTTTTTTTCATTTCCTTGGAATTCATTTTATGATTTGTTTGTTTTTCTTGTATAAATTACAAATCATTTTAATAAATTAATTAATAAGGAGGAGAGAAAAATTAAGTTTCAATTTTTATTTTTATCTTTCTCTCTCTCTCTCTTTTTTTTTTTAAAAAAATAAACTTTAAAACAACTTTTGTCTCATTTATCTCTTTCCCTTTCTTCCATTTTTCTTTCTTCTCTCTCTCTCTCCCATTTCTCTCTTTTTTTCTCTTTGTTTCTTACTTTAAAAATGATTTCTCTAACAATTTTGCTTATTTTAAACAAAATTTTATTATATATTAAATTGTGAATTCAAAAGAAAAAAAAAAACAGTAAGAAATATACTTTATTTGAATTTATTTGAAATGTTTTTTTCTTTTTTTTTTTCAGATGCCATCATTGAAAGAATTTTTTGAGAACAATGTGCATCGATTGCAACGACGAATTGGTGGTGAAACATTAATTTTATCATTAAAAAAGAAAAAATCATCAACAATTTATTCCGGAAAATCTTATCAATTTACTGATGAAATATGGTATATTTCTATTTATCATTTATTATCAGTACAATAATGTACTGTGAAATATAATTTATTCATTGATTAATTAAATTAACATTTTGCTTTCTCTCTTTTTTTTTTTTGCATAAAAATAATCGTTTATTTATTATTTAATTAATATTATTATATTTAAACCAACGTTTCCATTATCGTTATCATAATTGTAATCAATATCATTATTATCATCGTCATTGCCATTATAATAATTATTATACTAATTATTGCCATTAATTATTATTATCATTAGACCAATTATTATTATTATTAATCACTATACTAATTTTTATTAATTATTATTAGTATTAACAATGGTTTATTTATAATTATAATTTAATTAATATTATCATTATTGGTATTACTGTTAATAATTTAACAAATGTAAAATGTTAATTTAATTTTTTTTTTTTTTTTGTTTTCTTAATAAAAGTAAATTATTTTTTCTTTTTTTTAAGGAATACTATATTTGCTCAGTGTTCACCATTTGATTTATATTTATGGCGTCGTGTAAACAAAAATTTTAAACGTTTAATTGATAGTCGTTTTAATAATATCCTTTATTTATACGCTGATCGAAGGAATATTGCTTCAATGCTAGGCCAAGAAAGTATTAATGATGGTTGGTATTTGTTATATTTGCAAATTTTAATTTAGTAAACTTTAATTTAATTAAATTTTAACTTATTATCAATTAAATTATTTATAAGAATTTCAGAAATCATAAAAAGAATATATCAATTTTTCTATCATAACTGTTTTATATTGATAACGAAATAATTACAATGTTTACTGGAATAAACAACAAATAAAACAAAAAATAATCAAACAAACAAAAATTAAACTCATTTAGGATTTTTGATTATAAATTTTAGTTTTATCAAATTTTCCTGATTGTATTTTTTTCTTTTTATTCCACTTATTTGTTGCATTTTTAATAATTATTCAAAAACAATAGAAGAATTGATTACTTTTTATCCTTTCTTAAATTAACTTCTGTCATCAAATAAATTAATTGAATTTCAAAATATATAAATAAACAATAAACTTATTTAAGTATTTTTATTAAACTTTTTTATTTTGCTAATTTTTAAATAAATTAAAAACTTATTTAGGTAATTTTTATCGACATCACAGTGCACAAATATTGCTAAGTTTAGACACTCATAGTGCTATGTTTATTGTCCATGAAAGATGGACACCAAAAGATATCAGTAAATTATTTCAAGCAATTCAACTATTAGCACCATCAATACGAAATGTTTCGGTAAATATATCAAATTAATTTTATTATTTTATAAAGAAATTATTGTTTATAACTAATATTTATTATTATTATTATTGCTATTATTATCATTATTATTATTATTATTATTACTTTATTGTTATCATTTATTATCATCATTATTATTATTAATCAGCTTGATATGGGAATTGTTGAATTGATCACGGCTGGCTTATCAAGCATGGATTTTAATCGATGGCACACTTTTCAATGTTATTTGAAAACGTTAGAGGGACAAGCTGCTGAAGATTCTGTACATGTACAGTGTATACCATCTACCTGTCAAAAGACATTTTTTCCAAATGTCACTGAGGTTATAATTTATTAATTAATTTAGTAATTAATTCATTTATTTATTATCGAATATAATTTTATTCGATTTTGATTTCAATATTTCCTTATTATTATGTTATTGCTTATTACTACTGTTATAATTATGATTACTCTTATTATTACTATTATTATTATCATCATTATTATTATTATAATCGCAATATTTTTAAAAAGTTATTATCATTACAATAATAATATATTAATAATATAAGCATACATGGAAATAAAATCTGGTTTTCTTTTTTTTATTTTTCATTTTTATTTTTATTAAATTGGTGATATGTGTATTTAAAATCTTGTTTATATTCGAAAAAAAAAATTTTTTTTTTTTAATTGAAAAATTCAACTCTTTTTTACTTAAAAAATTATTCATATTAAATGTTGAGAATATTTTGATTGAATTAATTCTTAAACCAAAAAAAAACATTTTTTTTCTGTTTTTTTTTTTTTTTTTTTAAATAAAAAATGTCATATTAATTAATTTTGCAATAATTGAAAATAGTTTTTTAATTATAAAATGAAAGCAATTAATCAATTAATACTGCAATGTTAACCAATTAATTTTATTTTTTTGATTAATTTTACATTTTTTTTCTTTCATAACAAAATTTTTTTAGTAAATAAAAAAAATGAAAAAGAAGAAAAAAAAAAGAAAAACATTTTCAGTTTACGGTTCAAATTGGTGAGCGTGACTATTCGGCATTAACACGTTTGATGGATTATTCGGTTGATGCTCAAACACTTTTTTCGCTTGATAAAATTGAGCTTTTTCGTGTACATTTCATTTCTACCACTGAAACACAATTACGTGGTTCGTGTTTTACGCAAGAAGAACGTTTTTCCAGGAAGCGAACATCGAAACATTTGCAAAATTTCAAAAAATGGATTGGTACGACTAATTTAGGTGAACGATACTGTCAACAGTACTCATAATAATTACTCATAAAATTATTAATAGTACTCATAATTACTCATAAAATTATCAGTAATACTCAAAATTACTCGTAAAATTATCAACAGTACTCATAATTACTCATAAAATTATTAATAGTACTCATAATTACTCATAAAATTATTAATAGTACTCATAATTACTCATAAAATTATCAATAATACTCATAATTACTCGTAAAATTATCAACAGTACTCATAATTACTCATGAAATTATCAATAGTACTCATAATTACTCATAAAATTATCAATAGTACTCATAATTACTCATAAATATACCTTTTTTTTCAAAAAAAAAAAAAAAAAAAAACAGGAATTTAAAAAAGGAAAGCAAATTATTTCCTTATCTTTTATCATTTTTTAATTAATTAATAACTTACAGCAATTTATTTATTTTTTATCTTTTTATTTTCGAAATTTTCATTAAAAATTTAAATTACACCATTTTATGTGTTAATTTAAATGAAATTATTTCTTATAAATTGTAATTTACTTTGATATAAATGTCATTTCTAATGTGAAATTTTCATTTTTTGATGTAATAATTTCTTGATTTTTTTTTCTTTTTTAAACGAATTATAAATTTTTTTTTCTTGAAAAAGCAATCCTGAAATTTCAATTTAAAATAATGTAAATGGATTTATAGCAGATTTTTTAAAAAAAAATTTCACATTAACTTTTTAATTACAAATATATTTAAAATTACTGCTATATGGATGTAATAATCAAATGAATGTATATTTTCAATATTATTGATATTTTTAAATTAAACTATCTGTTGTTAATTTTGTACAATTTCCAATAATTGTTAATGGATTTTTCTTTTTTGTTTAAATTTAATTTCGATTATTATAATTGATTATTTATGTTTTATTTTCCATCTCATATTTTTGAGTAAGTCTTTTGATAAAAAAATATTTTCGAACAATTTTGTGATAAAAAAAGAAAAAAAAAATGAATGCAATAATACTCGAACAAATAATTATTACAACTTTTACTGAAGAAAAGACAACAAAGAGCCTCAAAACATTTTTTACTAATTTTTTAATTTAAATATTACTCATTTTTTTTACGAGTATTTTTTATTATTAATAGAGAGATTTGGCCTAATTTTGAAACAAATAAAGTTGAAATATGAAAAAAAGTATATAAGTTTTATAAATTAGTAAATAATTATGCGTAAAAAGATTTAAAGAAACAAAATGATTCAGTCGCAAACTAAAAATACAATAAAATTGAATGAATTGTTTAGTTTTTTTTTTTGTTTTTTCTTAAAAATAAAATTAAATAACTTTGTCACAAAAAATACTTTATTATGAGTATAAAATTAAAATAACCTTCCATTTTTTTTTTATTGTATTTTCTAATATTTTGTTTACTAACTTAAGCAAATCATAGATGTTTGAATTTTATTATCTCATTAATTATTTATTTATTAAGACTAATTATCCACTTTAATTCATATGCATGCAATATATGCATATTCTCTTTAGTAGCACAATAAGAAGCGAATAAATTTTAATGAAAATTTCCTCTGCAATATTATAGCTTTTACAAAAAGAGAAAAAAAAATTAAAATTAATTAAAACTGTCAATTAAAAATGATAACAAAATCATTATGGCTGATAATTTCAATTAACATTAATATAATTTCGTAAAAAAATACGAAGCAAAAGTTTTCATTGAATCATTGATTTATGCGTAAGTAGAAATTATAAGGTAAATAAACTAGCATTTATAAGTAAATATGAGTTGATTTTATAATTTTTTTTTTTTAGATTGAAATAGAATTTTATCAAATATTGCTATTTTAAACATCAAAACTATGTAAAAAAAAAAAAATTAAAAAGTATGTTGCAGATTCTTCTACTAGTAAAATTAAAAAAATCAAAATTCCCTAAATGAAAACTAACAATTATGCAATCAATTTTTTCTAAAATCTAATTAGTACCAATTCAGTTTGCGTATTTGACACTGACATTTCTTAGGCACCAATAAATTGTAATACTTTTAAAACTCATTATTTCATATCTGCAAAAATATTGAGCAAATTTTGTGAATTTAAATTTGATCGCTTAAAAATTTTTATATTTTTATTATTAAGTAATTGTCATTTTGCTTTTTTTTGCTTGCACCAAAAATCGGCGCGTAGTATTCAATATCTTTTGTGTGAAATGGGGTTAAACAGTTTGAACAAAACGAAAAATTGAAATAAAATTGAAAATTTAATATTGCTGACAACAAAAACAATTCAGTTAAACAAAACACAAACATGGCTCAAATTATTTATCGAATTATTTCTCAAATTATTTATCGAGTTATTTACAATAATAACAGTGCAAATGATAGAAATTCAAAATGCAGTCAAAGTAAAAACTGAAATTGAAAACAAGAAAATAAAAACGAATTAAATGAGGAATAAATCTTTTAAAAAAATTCTGAAACATTAAAAATTCTAAAAGATGGACTAAAAGTATAATAATCACAAGAGTGGAAGCATTACAACTGAAATAGCACAAAAAAAAAAAACTTTTACAAATTCATTAATTTAACTTTTGAAGCTTTTCTGGTATTTGATCTTTAAAAGGTAAACTGAATTTCGAATATTTTCATTACAATAAATTAAAACTTAATGATAATAATAGAAGCGAAACACTAATCGCTGAAAAATAATAATCCGATGTAATTTCGCTACTTCTCCAAATAAAATTTAATAAAATCTCAGAAATAATATTTTAGTTAGTTGAAACTATCGAAGAAAGTTTGATTTTCTTTGCATTATTTCTTTTTATGTATAATGTACTACACAAATTTTATTAAATTTAATTGAAAAATTAAGAAAAATCAGATGAAATCGAAGGACAAATAACTTGAGATTAGTTTTATTTTATTTCAACATTTTAATCATAAACAATTACTAAATTAAAAGAAACATGAAAGTAAAGGTATTGAAGAAAAAATCCACCTGACAAAAATGTATCGTAATCGATCTTAACCCAAATTTTCTTTTAATCTCGGCGTTATTGATAGATTTATGACAAATCCGCTTACAAAAATTATGATGTTAGGAATGATTTCGTAAAATAATAATAAGAAAACATAAATATATTAGCGCCTACAATTATTGTAATCAATCTGCTCTAAATTATTCTCCAGATTATACGTGTATCACGTGAATCACTCTAAATTATTCTCCAGATTATACGTGTATCACTCTAAATTATTCTCCAGATTATACGTGTATCACTCTAAATTATTCTCCAGATTATACGTGTATTACTCTAAATTATTCTCCAGATTATACGTGTATTACTCTAAATTATTCTCCAGATTATACGTGTATTACTCTAAATTATTCTCCAGATTATACGTGTATTACTCTAAATTATTCTCCAGATTATACGTGTATTACTCTAAATTATTCTCCAGATTATACGTGTATCACTCTAAATTATTCTCCAGATTATACGTGTATCACTCTAAATTATTTTCCATATTATACGTGTATCACTCTAAATTATTCTCCAGATTATACGTGTATTACTCTAAATTATTCTCCAGATTATACGTGTATCACGTGAATCACTCTAAATTATTCTCCAGATTATACGTGTATTACTCTAAATTATTCTCCAGATTATACGTGTATCACTCTAAATTATTCTCCAGATTATACGTGTATTACTCTAAATTATTCTCCAGATTATACGTGTATTACTCTAAATTATTCTCCATATTATACGTGTATCACTCTAAATTATTCTCCAGATTATACGTGTATCACTCTAAATTATTCTCCATATTATACGTGTATTACTCTATAATGACCCTTTCACTGTCTAAATTAACTTTTCATTTAGTTACTCAAAGATATTTGCATACTTTCATTCTCTCATAAAAATGCGTTATCCTTACACTCGTTCAGAAGTATCAGAAATGCTTCAGTCTTTTTCCTTTTTCATTGTTTTGTTTAGCTTATTGTTTCGTTTTTGCATCATTCTTTGCGTTAGTGTATCGTCGGGGCGGTCTTGTCAAGTAAGTAATGTCTGTATTTGATAGGAAAGGTTGTAAATAATTGGTAATATCACATTAGTAATATTTAAATATTACTTTAATTGTTATTGTAATCAAGAAAAAATGTTTTCATATTAGTTTTGTCATTTTTGATTATATGCAAAATTTTAATTATTAATACGATTCTATTGATATTAGTGCATTTCAGTAAGTGAGAAATAATTTGTTAATGAGACGGAGAGAAAGAGAGGAAAAGAGAGAAAAAAATAAAAGGTTATCAATATTTGATCAAATAATTAATAATAGGTTTATTCAAAAATAATTAATAGAAATCAATTTTATTCATTATTTGCTGGCGAAATTTTTAATTCGATAATTTTGTTTAAAATAATTTTGAATTTTTTAGGAAAAATCATCTTGGTCAAGCAAGAAAAGGATAATGGAACTGAAAACAGAAGCTATTATTCAACCGACTCATTTAAAAGTCGTTTTGAGCGATTGTAATATGAAAGTCGTGAACATACTGATGAATTTATTATCGGTAATTAATTATTTATTTATTATTACTGTTTGTCATTTCATTGCTAGTGCCTATCATTAATTATTTATCATTTGTTACCTGATTATTTAATATGATGTCCATTTTATTTATTGCATTAGAACTATTTAAGATAATCAGGCATTTACTATTTTTTTGTACATTGTTTATGTGATAAGATAGCACATGTAATATTATCATAAGATATGCAGGACAATGAATCTAAAATTTTATCAGGATGATTATTTAATGATGAAGGCAGATAATATATAAACTCCATTTTCAATCTCCAAAAAAAGGCAGAAAACTTTTTTTTTCTTTAATTTATTAATTTCTGAAGTATTTATAATTAATTTTATTTCACTATTATTTGTCTTTTTTTATTCGTTTTCCGGAAATACTGATAGCTAATCAGATATTAGAAAAGATGATTCACTTGCTAATTAAATTATCTTGTTTGATTCATCGTTTAATTAAATCATCTATTTCCGTATGTTTATTTTATATATCATTACTCGATTAGCTACTATTACTGCCACATTATCATAACGGATGTGTTATTATATCATTTGACCAATTTAATGATTAATGAATGTGTCAGGGAATGATATATTTTAAGCAACAATTAAGCTGGGAAGATTTGTTTGGAAGACGAGTTAAAGTATGTAGGGCAATAACAAAACGACAAATGGTTGAGAATGATTATGGTGAATCATGGATTGAGCTTACTTTAGAGGTTTAATTCTTTGTTTTTTTTTTTCGAAACGATTCACAAAGTTTTCAGCTTTTCAGAGTTTTTTTTTTTTCATTTGTCCATTTATTTTGAAGAAGTAGAAGAAAGTATTATTAACTGGTTTATTTAAAATTTATCATATTTTGTTAAATTTAGTAAAATTTAACTTTTAATTTTTAGGTGATATCAAAGCATTGGCATGTCGATTTACTTCCACTTGCGATGCGATTTCAATTAATTACAGATAGTCTTCATTTTGTTGGTTCATGTAGTGCTGTACTGCAAGCTACAAATAAACAAATGTTCTTGGAGAATTGCATGTAAGTTTGAACTACTTTAAAATAGCTAATTGATAAGTAAAACTGAAATTGATTATTTTAGCATAAAAGCTATTATATGAAAAGCATAGCCATAAATGAGATAGACAAAATATAAAATAGTAACCAGATGGTATGGATAGAGAAGATTAAAATTGATTCTGAAAAAGTGATAAAAATGATAAGTTTCGTCATCATCCTTGCATAATTTAGCCATTCAGATTCGAAAGAAAGACAAAGACTTGCTTTTGAAGTTTCTTGAATTGATAAGAAATTGATAATAAGATAGAGGGAAAAAATATTAGTAACAAGAAAAGAAGGAAGAGTGCTTGTAAATTACAGAGTGAGTATTGTATGAATTGATTCATTTTTATAACTGTAATTAAAATTAAATTTTTTAGAGCAGCACATATGTTTTTACCTTTGGAAGCATTTCATTTTGGTAGCCTACTGAAAGGACAATTTTTATCACATTTTTCACGTGTAGCGTGTACGGGAACAGCGTTAGAACAATTGCGTAGTTTAAACGTTTTGCGTGCTCTACGCAATTGCCCAGAAATTGTTGATCCGATGTTTGTTGATTTTGAGCATGATCGTGATATATTTATCGTTCGATTTGCTATTTTAGATGGTAAGGTTGCACTCATTCTCAGGCATATAGAATTAATTTTTTTTTAATTTTTAATAATTTTTGATGCTTCGATTGTTAACATTTAATTAATGCATTCAATTAATTAACTTTAGGTGGATTTCGATCAAAAAATAATGAAAATAGTAAAATTTCAAATACTTCTCCTATTCCTGGTTCAGCAGTAGCTCTAAAGGTAATAATCTATTTATATGGCAAACAAAAATTTGTTGCTTTTTTCTTCAAATTTTATAAATTTTCATTTTTTTTTTTTAGGAATTGTTTTTAACAGAAATAATTTTTTTCTCCTCTCTCTTCATGGAAATTTAGTTAGAAAAATAAAAAAGCACTTTTGTAAAACTTATTGATTACTAGGTACGATATAATTCAATCCGTCGTGTTTTGGTTGATTTACGAGTTAAATTACCAAATGGTGCATGCGGTCGGCGGATATACTTTCATTTAAATTATCCACCTGAAATACGAAAGTATCAGAGAAAAACAGAGGATGATGAGGATAAAGTAGGTAGTGATGGAAATCGATGGAGGTAAATGTATTTAAAAATTTTATTTTTTCTTATTGTTAAGTATTATTTTATCAAGAAATATTTAGGCATTTAGTGTAATCAATCATTTCATGATTTCTCCAAAATATTTTTAGCATTATATTAGCCATTTAATTATGATTATATTAATAGTTATATTAATTATATTTATATTAATACTTAATCTAATGTAGTCAAGAGACTAATTAAATCAATCAATATTAAGGAACTGATTACTATATTATTATGGTATCCCCTATTTTATTCCTTTACCCATTTTGTCTTATATCCACTTTCTCTTTTTTCTAGGAGTATTCCAGAAACTGATGATGATAAAAGGGACAATTGTGCAGCTATCAATGAAAGCCCATATTTTTGCTTGCAATTACGACAACATGTTTCTGTAAATTCTCAAACTTCATATATCTTTATCGTAAATACAGATTAAACATTATTTTTTTTTTTTTAAAAACTCAAGAATATTTCATAATTACATAGTATTCATTCCACGTAGCAACAATACTACATTGCTCTAATATCAAACATTGAGCTTAATTTACTTATATTGATGAATTATTTTTTAAGGATCATACTTTGTATCAATTACTTAGTCGTCTTCGTGTACGAGCAGTATTATCAATCGAATTTGCAAATTTAAAATCTCGATATTTAAGTGTATTTGAGTATGTCTTTTTTTCTTTTCTAAAATTGTGCAAATTTCTTCTTTTTTTTCAACACCTTTTCTTATTTTTTCTGTTAACTATTTTAATTAGTATAAAATACAGATAAATTATTTATTACAGTTATGTGGATGCACCTGTACGTTTCATAGGATGCGATTATCGTCCATATGCATACGATGCATACGATGAAGTAATTATTGGTAAGGAACGAAATTATGAACCACCATTTTCACGTGTTGATCCTACTTGTGAACGAAAAATTAGAGATTGTGATGTGTTTGGTTTGGAATACTTAATTGCTGCATTGCTTTCACGCGGTGCTGTTGTAAAGGATCAAATTCTGGTAAATTATTCTTACTGTATAATCAGTTTAATTTAGCAAATTTATTAGCTCAAATTAAAATTCGAATTAGCAAGAATAATGCTAACTTGCTAGTAACTGGAAAGTTTTTTGCTTTTTTTGTTTCCCAATTCTAAAATACTTGTTTAAAAAGCTTTTTTTTTCTTTGATTTACAACTGTTTGTATTATTGCTAATTTGTTATTATTAAAAAAAAATTGCTTCAATTATTATTTTTTTTTTTGAATTATAAACTATTATATATGAATGTATAATATAACACATACATGTATAATGATTGCAGCTCGTCTTATATCTAAATGATTTCAGTATTATGCAGTTAATTTAGCTTTGTTGATTGTGTAATGAAAAGCTTCAATTAGCATATAATAAAACTATAATAAGTTAGCTTGTAATAATTCTAGGAAATGATTACTAATTGATAGCTAAATAACATTTATAGGATTATTGTGTTTTTCTTAATCATTTTTTATTGCCGTTTCTTTGATCATATTGAACTGTCTGAACTTTTATTTGTAATTAGTATTTTCAGATAGATGAAAGGGCGCGTGATGCTTTTGTTGATATGATTTTGCAAAGATTTAGAGATAATGAAGAGGTATATGGAAATAATATTTGAAATATTACTGTAATTTGTTAATTTGAGGAGTTTTACAATAAGCTAAAGATCATTAAAATTTTTTTGAAGTTAAATTTGGCATAAAGTATTTGCTAAGTTACTACATCAATACTTTCTTTTTTCAAATTGATGTTAAAATGTTAGTAAAGTTTTAACAAATAAATGAAGGAAAGAAACGAAGATTTATTCAATTACATAATAAGTTGCATAATCAGAAAAAGAATTTGATTCGCATTTGTTTTAGCTAACATTAGAAGCATTGGAACGACTGATAAATATGATTGATGAAACCAAACAAGTGCCATGTTTATTTACATTATTTCAAAAGATTCGAAATAGTCTCGAAGGACAGAAAGATATTTTAGAAGAAATTTACCATGACAATAAGCGGGAAGGCTATCAACGTGTGCGAAAGGTTGGCTTTTAAAAATTTGTTATATTATTAGTAACAGATATCTTCGTAGTAGGGATTTTATATATAACTTACTCATTTCTAAAGAAATCTAATCCGAAGAAATTTTATATTTATTTCGAATTATTATATCATAATATCCAAAATGCATTTCTTTATATATATTCCATTATCCATTTTTTTCAAATAAATATAACATTTTTATTTTTTTAAAATCTTTTTTAATTGAAAAATTTTAGGTAATCATAACGCCAACTCGTATAATACTTGTAGTACCTGAATTACTAATGGGAAATCGTGTGCTTCGAACATTTGATAAAGATGGAAATGGTGCATTACGAATACAATTTCGTGATGATGATGGTACACCGTTACGAGTGAATACTGTTGGTCTCTTCTTAATACAAACAACAACTTTTAATACACTTTCACGTGGAATTTATATTGGAGGTTTTTTTTTTTTTTTTTTTATTTTTTCCAATAAAGAAATTTTTTTGGTTGATTGAAGTATTTTTTTTTATAAGATACATTAAACTAAAAACTTTTTTTACTAGACAAAACTTTATTATATAAAACTGTTTAAAAAATGTAGTTATTTTGTAAAGTATTCAAATATTTTGTCAACAGTGTATTTAAATTTTACAATATTATTCACAAATATAACTGTTATATAATCGTGAAAGTTGTAATTCTAAGAATAAATTAACCTTTCCAGTAATAATTTCTAGTTTACAGTTAGCATTGTTCTCTTTCCTTCTAAAATTATAAACGATGCTAAATATGTAAATGTTTTGATATTGAATTTGAAAGGTCGATTATGACAGATATATTCTTTTAGCAACAACGAATAACTTTACAAGGTTATTTCTATGTTGCAGATCGACACTTTGTTTATCTTGGCTCATCGAATTCACAGATGCGAGATAATGGTTGTTACTTTTATGATGATGGAAAAGGTGGTCAAGCGCATAAAATCCGTGAACAATTAGGAAAGTTTGATTCTTGTAACATACCAAAAATGATGTCACGAATGGGGCAATGTTTTACTCAAGCAAAAGTAGGATTTATTTTTTTCAAATAACTAATTGCTTAATTTTAGGTTAATTATTAATAGAGCATGAATTATGTATCTTATTTGAGTTAAAAGATTAGTCGTGTAATAATTCAGTTTGATAAAAATAAAAATAAACAACCATCATAAATTTAGCAAAACTACTGTTTTCATGAAATTATCTAAATGGTCATTCAGCGATGTAAGGTGATATTAAAGCGTCAAAAATATAATAAAACGTATGATATCATTGGTGGACGAGATACGAATCAAGCTTCTTATATATTTTCGGATGGTGTCGGTAAAGTATCAAAAGAATTTGCTGAAAAAATAGCTTTTGATATAGGATTAGGTACATCGGTTCCTAGCTGTTATCAGGTTTGCTTTTATATAAATCGCTATAATAGTTGTTTACATTTCATTTAATTTTTTTTTGCCTAAAATATTCCTAGTAAAATGAATGATCTAGTATCAGTCATTGATTACTGCTAATTTTCTAATTTAACAAATATAAGTGTATTTATCCCTTTACTCCTAATTCTAGTTTTTAAATTTTTTTCAATATTTCAGATTCGGCATCGTGGTATTAAAGGTGTTTTATCGATAGATCCTAGTTTGGATCAGCGTAAACAATGGACACTTGCTAATAATATAGTTGATAATAACAGAATGACAAACAAGCAAAATGATTTAGCTGTTGTATTCCGTCCATCTCAGGTAGTCTGTTATATATTTTTCATTTGTTTTATAATTTCCTTTTTTCTCTCTCTTCTTTCTTCTCCCTCCCTCTAATAACTTTTGACTTATTTCTAAGAATTACAATTTTTTTTTATATAAAAGGAATTATTAAGAATTATAGTGTTGTGTGAATAAGTTCAATTGTAATAGCTACAGTGAATGAAACAAAAAAGATTGATAATATAGGATAAATTCAAAGCACCAAGAGATGATTACATTGAAATTGTGAAATATTCATCACCAACACCAGTTTGTCTTAATCGCCCAATGATATCTATTTTGGATCAGGTAATTATGAAATAATTATTGAATTATAATTATCAGATCTTTCTACTGACTAATGTTATATTATATTGTTTAAAACTTTACAAAACTAACCAAACCATAAAATTTTTCACTTTTAACAAAATACTGACAATTTTTAGATAATTTTTTTTTAACACATCAACAAATTTTCTGTACCAGACCCAACCAATTAATATTTGCACATTAATTAGATAGAAGAACTCATTAAACATTTCAAATTACGTGATTCAAATTAAAATTAGTATTGTAAGTGGTATATATTACACTAGTCAACCTTTGCAATGCATTCACTAGGAGCAGTTACGTAATTTATTTAAAAGTACAATGAAGCCATCACTAATTTATTATATTTTTAAAATCAGCATAATTTGGTTCATTAATAGTAATGTAAACTTATGGATTATAATACTTACTTTGAGTATGTCAAGAAAAGGCGTATTATTTGATAAAAAAGATCATTTATTACGAAAACAAAAATGCAAAATAACTTTTAAATATCATTTTAGATTTCAATGAGAGTTAACGAAGTTTCTTTTTTCATTTAAAATTAATGTTTTTTTCTTTTTTTTTTTACACAAAAATGCTTTTTTTTCTGATAATAGATATTATATTAATACAAAAGATATTTGAAAATATTTTTTTTTAGGTTAGTGGAATGCAAAATTTTTCCGTACATGAAAGGATTAAAAAACGTATACATGACTTGCTGGATGTACATTTGACACAATTAGCTAATATGTTGATGGACGAAGAAAAGTTTGCTGTTTATTATTCATTTTGATAATAACTTTCAAAAGCAAGAATTGTTCAAGTAGTTAATGTTAGCAAAGAGTAAACTGATTTTAATTTTGTCAATTTATCAAATCAAAAATTGGATTTAAAAGCAATTTCAGTGTGAAACTTTTAATATTAAAATGTATTACGAAAAGAGATTGTTTTTTTTTTCTTTTATTTTAGATGCCGTGAAAGACTTAATGAATTGCCATTGCGTGTTAATGTTTCACGTCTAACACTTGCACGTGGTTTTGCTTTAACTCAGGAGCCATTTTTTCGAAGTTTACTGAGAGCACATATCAAATGCACTTTAAGTATGTTAATTAAATTAATCAAATTTTTCAATTCATTTGATAAACTTAAAAATTTTAGCATTATTTAGAAAAATTAATTGCTAAAATACAAATTCAAATACCATCACATCTTGGCCGTTCAATGTTTGGTGTAGTGGATGAAACAGGTCAATTGCAATGGGGTCAAATTTTTGTACAATGTACCAGGAATATTTGGCTTAAAACACCATCTCCATCTGCCGCAAAATTTATTTTAAAAGGTAAGTAGGAACATTTATCAAAGCATTATTATTGTTATATTCGGCGATTTAATCTTTGTATGGTTTCTTAGTTTATTTCTTCCATTATCAATTTTTCGTCAGGTAAAGTGATGTTAACAAAAAATCCTTGTATTGTTGCTGGTGATGTACGGGTATTTGAAGCAGTTGATATTCCTGAATTGCATCATTTAGTAGACGTTGTAGTTTTTCCGCAACATGGACCAAGACCACATCCGGATGAGATGGCTGGTTTGTTGTTTTTTCAATTTAATTTCAAAAAATTACTTGGCCATTTGTAATATGCTATTTTATTATAATAATTATCATAATTCAGGTTCAGATCTGGATGGTGATGAATATTCAGTAATTTGGGACCAGGAATTAATATTTGAACATAATGAACCACCGTTAGACTTTACAAAAAGTACATCAGGCAATAAAATTATTGATGAAGCACAAGTGGTTTGTGTATTATTGTTATTATTTATACCTCAGTAATCATTAAATAATTCTTCTTTTATTAATTAACATTTACAATTATCATCAAAAACTAATCTTTGTTAAGCCATCTATTAAATGAATTTTTGACTCTAAAGAAATTAGTTATAAATATTTCTTTCAAGGATTTAGAAATGCGAAAATTCTTTGTTAATTATATCAAGCAGGATTCAATTGGCTCAATTTCAAATGCTTTCTTAGTCAATGCTGATCTGTATGGTATAACAAGTGAGGTATGAACTTCTTTTTCTATAAATCAATGAGGGAATTTCGGAATTATATTCATAATATGAAATACTTTTTAATACTATGCTAATCATAATGCGAACACTTTAATTATCTACTTAATTTGATTTCTGCCACTAACATTTCATAGTAATTTTCGGCAAATTCTCATTATAACTTTTTTTTTTTAAGTTACAGCTATTTTGGATTTAAAAATTAAGTTTTGACAAAAAAAAAAACAATACAGAAAAGAAAATGATTTTGATTTTATTTGCAGGTTTGCATTAATATAGCAAAGAAGCATTCAAAAGCTGTGGATTTTCCGAAAACAGGTGATGCACCTGCTCCATTAACAAGACAATGGACAAACGATAAAAATGGTAATATGCTTCCACCGGAAAGGGCTGAACGTTGGCCGGATTTTATGTGCAAAAATCATGAACCAAGTTATATTTCATCACGTTTAGTTGGACAATTATATAGGTTTGTTTAACAATTATTAGTTTTGACAAAAATTGATCTGTTTATCTTTACCACATTTATGTTTAGCTATTTAAAACAAAAAGTTTAAAAGTTTACTTTCTAATTTATGTTATCATTTATCACAAATTGTAAAAATTTTCACTTCTAAGATATGGTAAACTTTTAATAAATGATTTTTTTAAAGGCGTATCAGACTTCTAGACGATGCTTTAAATCTTACAATTGTTATGGAAGAAAATGTACCAATAATGTTGGATCCAGATTTAGAGTATCCTGGTTGGGAACGATACCAAAATATTGCTAAAACTCAATTTGATTCTTATCATGCATACATAAGAGTTAGGTTTTAATGATGCATATCAATCAAGAAGAAAGTTTCAGCTGTTTTTAAAACATATTTTTTCTTTAATTTTCTTGATTTCATTTTATGGATAACTTTCTTTATCTCTAACCTATCAATTTTTGAATCTTTCATAATTAAAATATATACATTATAACTTCAGTTTTATACATTACCAGTCTAGTTTTTATGCAAATAATTTTTACAGTCAATAATGGAAAATTATGGCATTGAAGATGAAGGACAATTATTTTCCGGTTTTATTAGCTCTATTCGAAATCGAATTAATGATCGTGATACAGATGACATGTCGTTCTATAATACAAATCATATAATCGAGAAGAAAGTTTCAGCTGTTTTTAAAGCGTAATTTTTCTATAATTTCTTTTCTTTTACTTCATTTTATTTTTGTTTTCAAAATCTGCAATCCTTTAACAAAAAAAAAGAAAAACCTGCAAGGAGCTATTACGGTAAACATTATTACTCGGAAAAAAAAATTTGGTCAGTAAATTTTAATTAATTTAAGAATTTTAACTTTTTAACATTCTAAATATAGATATCGTCATCGTTTCTTTGATGAATTTGGTGGATTTTTGGAAAACACATTACCCGATCATGATGATAAACAAAATGGTAATATACAGGAACGACGTATTTGTGTTTATTCATCTTCGGATATGAAGCAAAAAGCGTCAGCATATTACATTATTTGTTATCGTAAGTATTTATTTATATTTTCTATTTTTTACTTATATCTTCTCTTTCTAGTTCATTTATTTAAATTATCATCAATTTTTGAATTTCAATGTTTAGATTTTTATTAAATGAAGATAGTTCTCGATTATATTAATGATTTGAATTTATTAAATAGTATTGCTATACTTTTCGAAAATTCCTCTTTAATGTCTTACAATAAGATTGTTTGTAATAAATTTATAACGAAACATATAAATTATGTGATGAAATGTTAAAATCTTGTAGTTTACTAGGTTACTTCAAACTATAATCTTATAGTATAATTATTAAGTGAGTCTGAAGCATTTTAACAATTAACATTTCCATTCTCTTAACAAGACTTAGTCATTTTATTATAGCATCATAGCATTTATCATTTAATTATATTAACATTTTGTAATACTAACTATCGTGACAACAATAATAATTACTTTTATCTATCATAGTAATTATATTGGAGTAATGATATGATCATTGTTCTTGTAGCAGTTATTATCAATGTTTGCTAACATTATCATAGTTATTACTTTTTGCTAATACAATAGGAAATGCATCAGTGGATAAATCACATCGGACTTTATCATTTGGTTGGCTTATTTGGGATATATTATGTCACATCAAGCAAGAAGTAAGAATGATACATGGCAGATCAATTGTGCAATCATTGGATCCATTGAGTGAAAGCGCATCTGAGGTTATCTTAATTTTATTTTTTACAATTTTTAAATTTATATCTTCTTAAAAAAAGAAACTCAAAAATTTATTGTTTCTGTACTAGAATAATGATTTTTTCTTAACTGAAAAAAATTTGCAGTTTATCAAGAATTATTGTGAAGCAAATGCCGAAGATATGAAATGGACTTTGTCGTATGTAATGAAGACAAAACAGGTTGCTCGTATTCTTGAACCATATTGTAGCCGTTACAAGGGTACATTTTACATAAATTTATATAATGATATTGTCAGGGATTAATTTTATATTGGAAAAAATTTAATTGCTCCTAAAATTTACAAAATAAAAATTAAAATGTTCTAAGAAATTAATTTTCAACTAATTTAAGGATGAAAGAAAATGTTTCAAAATTCTACAAATGATAAAATTTCTTATTTCCTTTCTGTGACTATATTAATACATATCAGTAATTTAAATACTTTTGCAGGTCTTGAAGATTTACTTTATATTCTTATGAAATGGGCTACTCTTCATGAATTATTGAAAGAACCACTAAAAGCTGTTCATATTTGCCTTTTGCTCATACAATTTGGCCTCGGATATTACGCTAATGACAAAAATATAATGCAAGTACAATTTCTAGAAGAAGTGAGATGAATTTTAACATTTAAACAAAATTTAAAATTCTGCAAATTTTTGATATTTTTTTGAAAAAATATTAAAAGTGAATTTTGTCCAAAATTTCATGAATTATTAAATGAATCTTCTCCACACTTTAATAATTATCAATAATTTTTAGACAAAAGAAGTTATTGATAAAAATTCACATTTGGTATGCAATTTGCATAGTCTTGTTGGTGGTATTGGTGTATGCTTGTTAAAATTTTTCAAATTTCTTAGTTCACGTACTATTCAAACATTAAAAATGCTAAATTTTCGAAGTGTTGGATATCGTTCGTTATTAATGCGAGGACAATGGATAAAATTGAATGAAGTATAATTTATATTATCATTAAAAATATGTCCATTTCTGATTTTCTTGCTTTCTTTTGTTATTATCATGATTAGAGTATACAATTTATTATAGCATTTTTATCTTTTATAAAATATTCTCATTCGAAATATTTTTTTGCTAAAATTTTTCGGCGTAATTTATTCATTTTCTTTTTCCTATGAATAATACTTTTTCATCTTAAAAATTTTCAAATATCATATTGTATAAAGCAGAAAATTATCATTCTATTTCATATTATGCAACTATTTTCATATTTTCAGGCTGCTTTGAAAACTTTTTTTAGTATTTCTTTGACAGGAAGATTTGATCATGTAACACTGACTAGCTTTGAAAACATGAATGATAAATCATTTAATCGTAAAATTGTAAGTTAACATTTTGGTTTTTTTTTTTTCAACATTATTTTATTATTTTTTTTTTTTTGGTAAGAATTGTTATCCGGTTTTTTTATCTTCCAGTAAATTTATAATTTCTTTGCTTCAGTTTGGAACAATTGAAATTGAACCATTTATGATTGAATTACCTGTTGAGTCACCAATACATTTGGCTAAATTTCGTGAAAAAATACGGAAACATTGTGGCGTAAAATATTTGCAAATGCGACGAATTGCGCATCGAAAAAAAGGTCAGATTAATTTAACATTTGTAATTAATCTTTCATATTTAATAAACTGATTAATGTCTCACTTTGCTCATTGGTTTTGCTAATTACTTTTGAGTGGTATTTTTTCTTTGTTTGCATGCATATACTAAGTTAATTTTAAGTCAATTTAGTTAAATTGAATTTAATTCAAAATATTTCATCACTCAATATATATCATGTTAGATTTTTTAAGATCGTTTTTTAGTTTTGTGCTCTTTTTTTTTTCATCCATTTTATTCAATTTAGTTTATGTGCTTAGGCTCAGTACATATATGATTTCATATGTAAATTTCCAGACCGTGTTATTGTTTCGGCAGTTGGTACATTGGAATCATTGCATCGTTTGCGTGATTTGCTATCAATACGACCATCTGTAAATTCATATGCAAATTACAAAGAGAATAATGATATCATTAGTCGCCTTATTGTTGAACGTCTCGAAAAATTAAATTAGCACCTTCATGACATAGCTTTCTCTTTCATTTAGCAAATATTAATAATTTTCAATTATGAATTTTTAAGATTACTTAATAAATGTTGTAGTTGCTATAGAAATATATGTGACATTGACATAATTACTTTAAGCCTTTCATACAAGTTATAGATTTTAATTAAATTTATTGTAATAATTGAAGATCATTGATATTTCCACTTCGAATAATTCTTAAATTTATTGCTTTAATTAGACTTAGTACTGAAAGCTAGAAATTAGATATGTTAATTTAGATACATATTAGTTGTCGATGAAAAGGTGATAGAATTATGCCTTATATTTTCGTTTCAATTGCTCAAAATAAACATATTACTTCATATTGTTATTTATTATTCTTTTTCTTTTGTTTTTTTTCTAGGCAATAATTTTTTTTTTTTCATTATTTTCATTTTTTTTTTTTTAAAGCAAACAGTGTTATCACCAATCGTGTTCTTTTTCTTTTTTGAATAAAAAGATTTTGAAAGAGAAAAAACAACTTTGCCCCCTATTTTATCATCTAAATTATGAAAGCTAAAGTGCATTTTATGCTATGAATACTTAAAAATATTTGTCAATATAATTTCTAAGCGAATGAATGAAAACTAAAGGTTTTTTTTTTTTCATAAAAATCTGGTTAAATTAGAAAAAGAAAAAAGTAAAATCATTCGAATTATTGATTTCGTAGATTTATTATGGTCTTTTCTTTTGAGTATAAATTTTTTTAAACGTAAATATTTCATTCCTATTCTGAGATCATAAATTTGAATTTATGTTTTAAAAGAAATTAAAATAAATCTAATTTGATGAAATCAACAATCTAAATGATTCCATTTTTTTTTACGAAACGTCTGTTTTGTATTGATGAGTAATTTCATAGAATTATATAATTGAATTCTCTCTTATGTATCTCTTTATCTAAATGAGTAAAATCTTAACGAACTTTTTGTTAAACTGATAACACTTTTGATTAATTGTAATTATGATAGATGCATTATATAATTGTTAATTTTTACACAATAATTTTTTCTTCCAAATTTTTAAAAAAATTTTTTCCAGTAAAGCTTTGTTTTTGTTCCTTTTCTTTTAGTAGCATTTGTAATTTAAATAATTTAAATTCTTTGATTTCTTAATTGCTATTGCATTTTAAATGATCAATAGTGCAAAATCTTTGTTACGATAATCTTCATTAAGTCTTTCTTCGGTATGCAATTTGTTGAGTGATTTTTATAAATTTAATTTCGGTTAAAATTTTTTGCATTAGCTTATTTTTTGATTAATTTGATAAAAATTTTCAAATAAATTTTTTGTTAATTTATTTGTGTTTCTTATCTTTTTTTTTTTTTTTTGTTTCAGACAATTAACTTTACACATTTTCAGCTTACATAATATATCAAACAATCATTTTATGTAGTTTTTCTCAAAAGAAAAAGAAAAATCAAATATTAGAATTTTTTGAAAATTATAGCAATTTTTTGATAGATAATGAAATTCATTTGAAATTTTATTTTTTTCTCAGTTTTTGGCTAATTATTACAATTATAGCTATGTGAACATTTTAAATTAAAAAATTGATATCTTTGTTTGAAAATTTCTCCTCCATCATAGTTCCCTTATTTATCTTTCCCAACCTTAAACTCACATAAACTCTGCTCCTTTATTATCAATTTTTATTTTTAAAATATAAAAAATAAAAAATTTAGTGTACGAGTTGATAAACTGACACATAACCATAAAAACTGACACATACCCAAAACAATTTTCGAATATAATAGGAACCCTGTTTTTTCGTTAAAAAATGAGAAAAAAGGAGGAAAGAAAATTTTGAAAGCAAATTTAAAATTTTAACAAAAGAAAAAAGAACAAATAAGAAGGATGAAGGAATGAAATAGGAAAGATTTTTTGGAAAAAAAATGTTTTGAAGCAAAATGAATTCTATAATAAAAGGTATGGAAAACAAATGCTCTTCCACCATTCTTTTTCAAAGCAATAATCAATTAAACCTTATATTATGGCTTTTCCAAAATGCACTAACAATTATCACCGATTCTTCTGATTCTCATTATTCATAAAGAATCTCTACTTTTTGAAAGCAAATCTAAAGTTTCAACAAAAAAGAACTAATAGGAAGGTTTGTTATTAATTGATAAACGAATTGTACTTCATTATTTAAATTTTAATTAATAATAAATTCGTTAGCTTAGATATCGATAAAGCATATAAGCTTTACATAAGAAATATCAGAGGAAACCTCAATCTGTCATTTCTGATCATTGATCCTAGCAGTTGCATGCATCTGCGTAACTATTTCCTCCCTTCCTCTCACTTTTTTCTTAAATTAATACAACAATGTAATGAATTCAAGAATAAATTCTCAAAAAATATTGAAGATTGTTGATTCGGGCAGTTCTCTTAACAGTTTAGGAATTCTAGAATGGTAGTAATAAGTCTCTAAAAAGATTTAAAAAGGATTAAAACTGGAGAGAGAAATAGGGAGAGAGAGAGAGAGTGAGAGAGGGGATGAGAGAAGAGGTGGAATGCTAACTGGTGCTTAACGGTAGCAAACAAACGTGCAAGCCAGTGAGCGTTGACAAGGTGTTCAAACAAAAGTGTCAATTGTGTATAGCTAGTATGACTGATTTGGATGTTTCTGTCAAGTGGTTTGCAATATGATCGAATTGAGATATAAAATTAGAGAACTTTGAAATTAGCTACATTTTAATGTTGCTAATAATAGAAGTCGATAAATCTCATATTACAATCAATAAATGTCATAAAAAGTAACTAATACTATAAATTACATCTAACTAAAGCATTGCACAATCGGATAAGGACAGAAATAATACAGGAATGTAAAAAATTAATAACTGAAAATAAAATAAACAATGAAATGACTAACAAATAAACAAATATCCTAAGTCTAGTTTTGTTGTTAAATCATTTCTATTTTTTTTTTATCCAAACTATTTGTTTACTCAATTACGGTATTATTAATGATTTTATCCTTTTATTTTCAAAAAAGAAAAACATATCAACGTAATAAAATGCTGTCAAATTACAATAATATCACTAATTCTTTGCATATATTTTGAAAAGAAGTACTGTGAACAGTATTAGATTGAATGTCAGTAACTGTCTAACAGATTTGTTCCTCAGAAATTGGTTAATTGGTATTACTACGAATCATGTAAATACATTACCTAAACTATTACATCACTAAGTTATAGTATACAAATACACAGGTAAATGCATTGTTAGTATGCAAAAATAATTGAACTAAAATTTAAAAAAAAAATGAGATAATGGATATATAAGTAGTGGTGTGAAGTATAATAATATGTAGATTGAATGAACAATGGAATAAATCACATTGGTGGTTTTTTAAAAGAAAAATTATTTCTATTCAAATAATTTCAAATAATTTTTTATTTGTTGCTTTTAAAATGCCATAAGCACCAAATACATAATAATAAATTCAACGTTACTTAATTTTACAACGCAACAGAACATTGGAATGTAATCCTATGACGAACTTTCCAAACAATCAATGAGAACGATTACCGATAAATAAAATTGCAATTAAATATTATTCAAATTTCAATACAATGTAAAGTTGAATTCAGTAAACATCAAAACTGCTAAATTTAAATGCTAAATCATTATATTTGAGGTTATTCTATATTGCACTTTCTTTTTCTATCAGATAACGATATTTAGAAGTAATATTTTACTTTATTTATTTCCCTATTGAATTTAAAAAGAATTAAGAAATTTCAATTTTCTTTTGAAAATTTCCAAACGAATGGACTAAAAATCCTCATATTATTCGAGAAATAAGAAAATTTTGTAAAAAAAAATTCTTATTTTAGCATCATTTTAACAATAAATGAACAAAAGGACGATTAACTACTGTGAGCTTAATCAATTACCTGAAGATTTCTATTTGTATAAAATTTTTATGTTTATCGTAAATAACTGTACTAAACGTAATCATACGCAATGATACAATTTGATTGATTGTATCCATGATACAATCAAGTAAACCGCAACATTTATAGGCAGTGATTACATTTGATAAGTAAAATCAGATATCTGTCAAACTATCTCATTTTTACCACTACGAATGTGTCACCTACTTTTTTAACATTTGTAGGAAATAACTGCACTAATAAACAAGGCACGGCATTCACATATCTGTCAGATTTTGACCATTAAGTTAAATACTTGCTCAATTTCTGAACAACGAATCATCACAAAAATGATTTTATCGATGACTATGGGAAACACAGAGGCATTTTGATAGGAAAAAAGGAAAGTATTTGGGAAGGAAATGTAGGAAAGTATTTCGCCATGAAAGAAACCTAATTTCTTCACACACACACACACAGATATAATTCAAAAACGTTGCGATTTTCTGCGTGTAGTCTGACTCATCGAAAATTTGTACTTTTAAATACGCATTTGGCAGAGAAATTTGCAGTTGCAGAAAGAATAAGTTCAGTGGAGGGAAGAAAAGATGAAAAAAATTAAAAGAAAATACAAATAGTTTGTAGCAAATAACTTTTAGTTTTGACAAGTTCATCATTAATTTTCACTTCTGAAAAGTTTATCATAATGACATGTTCTCAACTCATAAATCTCTCTCTCTCTCTCTCTCTCTCTCAAAAAAAGGAACAATTTCTCATGAGAGAGTGTTATCGTAGTGATACGTTCATATAACGGTGCAAAATTGAAATAATTTTAAGTTTACGTTCAATGAACCGACGACCAATACAGAAAATGCAGTTGACAGATACAAGCACATTTAATCTGTAATAAAAATAATATAATTAGAGTGAAACAGAAACAATGTCTTTTGTTTGCGCAACTGTTGCATCGTTATGTGATTTTTCCAGTTGGAAATTGCAAAATTCACTGTGATTCATTTCTTTGATTAGTATTTTTGGTAAGTAACACTAATTAGCTTAAACAAAATCTAACACTGACTTGGCTTGGACAGCTTTTTTTTCTTTTTTAGTCACGCATCTGTGATTCAACAGGAATGCTGATTTAGTACATTCTTGCAATGTTGAATTATTTGATGACATGAACGCCACTCAAGATTTTGACACAGTAACAATTTGATATTATTTTGACAACAATGTCACATTTCTTGAAGAACTATGCAAGTCCACCAAATCCACTAAAGTTAACTTTCACAGATTTATCAAAAGCTTTGAATGGGAAGCAGTGAAAAAGTATTCAATGCTTTTTAGAACATTCGGTTGCATTCGTGTCAAATAAGGAGCGTTGTGATTCGAAACGAAAAATTAATTGCAAAAGTCTAAGAGGGAAATGAGTTTTGCGTGCTGAATAGTGGCACACTTTTTTGCTGTGACAAAAATTAAGAAAATTTCATCCCTCTGTTTTGGATATTAATCAATCAAAACTATTTGCGCTTACTGTGCAAAATGTTAATCAATGAGCGCAACGAGCAATTAATGTTGACATTATGTCTGACAAAAATTAAGTGAAAAATTTTTGAATGAAATTATGCGGAACGCTTCAGAAGTTTATTTCATAATGGAATGCACAAAAAGCAATGAAAGTCAACCAGCAGAGCAAATATTACAATGTGCTTCTAATGTTGTCACTGTCATTCGAGAGACTGACAATATACATTTCCCCGAATCGTATGACTTTTGATCTGGTTAATCCTGTTAATATTTTTCCATGTTAATGTCGTTACCTTCACCATTGTTATAGCTAAATCTATTTGATTATGCAAATTTAGCACTGTACTTGTAATGTATCACATCCGAATTCATTCTGCAGTTTGTTACTTTTATGTTGTCTATTTAGTTTTTGATCGATTGGAATAATCTTTCGGTGATTTATAAACATTGCGAAATGATTTTGAATACAATAAAACATTCAAATTTTTTGCTTATAAGCATCAGTTCATAACCTTAATTGTCATGAATTCATCAGTTGTTTGGTTTGAAGTTGTGAAGATATTGTATTAGCAGTAGTTGACAAACGTTCGGGAAGTGGTTGATCTTTTGTTTCCGGAATAAAGATAAGATAAAGTACTAAGTCAGATAAAGCAAACATAATTAGTGCAACGAAAGGCGCAGGTGTCCAAAAGTCAGCCTGTAAAAACGGTATAAAATATGACTAAATAATTTACATTCTTCATTAGCTGAAGAATAGGCTTTTTCATTGAAGTTTACTTACCAGGAAAAACAACTGAGGAGCGAAAACCACACCAATACGACCGACAACTTGCAAAAACGAGAAGCACATACTGCGCAATGGTGTCGGAAACAGTTCATTTCCGGACATTCCAGTTATTATATAAATTTGACTCATCATTGCAAATGCCATCAGTGTTGCAATTCGTGAAACAATTTCCAGCTCAGTACTAAGTCCTTTAATCAAAGATTAGAGATTAAAAATGATAAAAGCATTTGTTGACAAAGAATAAATGAAACAAATACAAATATTGGATCGAAATAGGCAAAATATTTCGTATAATCTATGCGAATTTCATTTACGTTTCTCTTTTTTCCATCTTTCTTTTTTTTGTTCTACTTTTTAATTTGAATAGTAAAATAAAACTTAACTTAAACAATATCATCTTTTTCAAAGGTTTTTAATTTAAATGTTAAAGGTAAAATTTACCTGAACAAATAATAATGAAATGAATAATAAATCCAATTGATGTCAATGCTAATGGTACTGTATGCGCAACTCGTCGACCAAACCATCCTTGTGTATAATCGGTAAGTACTGAAGCAACATTTACCGCATATCTGTAACATATTATCATGATTATACTAAGCTTAAGCATTCATCAATTCTTATCATTATCATATCACATTACTGCTTGATTATTTTTTCAAAAAATTTATCACTCATTTGTTTTTTTTTAATCACAAATACACTAAGCAATTTATAATTTAAAAGATATAAGTATGATACTGGAAATTACTCTTTTTATAGGTATGTAGTAAAATTATTGATTACCTTATTAAACCAAGCATAATATTATTTGTGTAAATTGAACCAGGCAATTTTTCCATACTGAATAGCATACCATAATTTATCATACTTGCTGCCAAACTTGAAAAAAAATTTTTTTTAAATTTTCTAATAGCTGAAATTATTGTAAAAATTTTAAAGCGAATGTTTTCTTGCAAAAAAGATAATATCAAAAGAAGGATTTATCAGCAAACATTACGTAAAATTTCAGACTGAAAATAGATATTTTCAATTTTAGGATAAATAAATCCTCTTATTTTTTATATAAATGGCATAAACTGTTACAGTTGAAAAAAGAAATAATTCAACGTAATAAATAGTAATTAATTACTAAAGATTAACTTACAAACTATAAGATAAAACCAAAATATACGTGGTTAATTGGCGTGTATGAAATAAATGATAAATATAGTAATTTTTTCTATTTCTCTTTTCACGTAATATCTAAAATTTTATTTTATGCATAAAATAATAGCTTCAAATTGTTTACAATCCCATTTGAATAGATAATTATTGTGAAGTGTCCATTTGATTCAACGGAGATAAGATGACGTTCTTTGGTTATTATACACCAATATATAAATTATTTATGTAATACTAATTACGTACGTATGCTAATCACGTACGTATTAATGTACTATGTCAAATTTTCAAACGCTTAATTTGAGAAAATGAACTGCAGTGACAATATTTCAGCAATTATAAATATAGAAAAAATTTTTTGATATTTTGTAAAATTTCATTTAAAAATGCTAAATTTCTCATATTTTAAAATCTTTTTTAAGTCACAAAATCAAATATAAAAAAAGAAAAAATATATGCATGAAATGACCTCTCTCTCTGCATCAATAACCTTCTCGATCATATCATTCGTAACATCATTTCTACCATTCCAACGTGTAATTTGTTTTAGCACGTGATGTGCTTCATTGATACGTCCCTTTTGAATTAACCAACGTGGTGATTCATACGATAAACTAAATATGATTCACGTTTTGCATAATAAATTCTTGAAATATTTTAACAGTTCACATATTTGATACAAATTTTAATGTTCTATAATTCATTCATACCTCTCTACTTCTTTCTCTCGCTTTCTCTCCCTCTCTCTCTCTCTCTCTGTTTTATATAACAATATTCTAGGTACTTTCTATAATTACACATTATTACTTATTTAATTATTCTATGTTGTGTAAGAGAAAAACTGATAATCAATAATGAATCATTCTATCCAATTCCGTCGTTATTGTTCATTAACATTTAATAAAATACAAAATTGCCATCTATTAACTTCCCTTTCTTATCATTTCTCTGTTATCACTTTTCTTTTGTTTTATCAGAAGTATTTAGTTTAATGAAAATTAGTATTATTCTTTAAAATTTACAACACAAAACTGTTCTTATCAATTAAATTACTTTAACGATAGATAATTCGAATCAATAATCAAAGATTAAACAGATTACTATTATCTCATAATGCGATATATTTAATCTTTCACCGAACATTTCTAATAATTTATCATAAAGTATATAAAATGTCAATAATGTTGTAAATTATTTTACTTTTATTTGTAAATATTATTCTAAAATGTAAAAATATTTATAAATAAAAATGAAAATAAGAAGAAAACTAGGAAATAAATTAATGACAAACATGCAAAGAAGAATAGCTGGTGATGTTAAAAAACTGACGACAATTGCTAATTGTCGCCAATTTTGACTGTAATATGCCATAATAGCTAATAAAATTACATTTGGTGAAAATGAAATGAGCGTTGTAACCCAAATACGATCCTTTTTTGGTAACATTTCTACCACATATACAAACATAGCACTAAAAAACAAATTTTTAATTTATTTTTGAAACTAAAAAACTTATTTTATTAGAACAATTTCATTTTATAATCTCTTTTAAAAACAAGTATACAATATTTTCATTTTCCTCATTATTTTTTTTTTTTTTTTAATTAAAACTTTATTAATATGTAAAGTTTTAAAATTATTTTCTTCGTTAAATTTAGCAGTAATTTCATTTTTGAATTATTTATTTTATATAATCTAATAAATGAAACATTACGCTATTTGTCCACCATTAAAAAGTCCGATAATAGTACGATAAATGGTAGCTATAAGTAAATCTTTAGAAAAAGACGAAATAAATCCAAATATAATACAACCCGAAACACAAAATAATAGTACCTAAAAAAAAAAAAAATAATTCTTGTCAAAATTAATAAATGTTTTAATTTCAAAAAAATTATTAAATTCAAAACAATAGTAATAAATAGTTCTAAATTTTATGCTACAGTCATAAAATATGACATACTTATGTTAATGTGATAATAATACTTGTAATCATTTTAGCATGTATGTTTAAAAAACAAATCACTTGAAAATATATTTAAAAATAATTTCACAAATATCAGGAGTAATAATAGTGCCAAATCACTTGAATTGATAGCAATTATCAAAATGACTTCATTTAATTTTATCATTCAATTTTAAATATCGTTGAGAAAAGCATAAAAATTAGTTTAACAATAATTAAAGGAATAATTTTATTTATTTTTTTTTTTTAAAAAAACACTTTTACCGGTTTTCTTCCATATAAATCGCTGAGCTGTCCAAAAATAAGTGAACCAATAACAGCGCCAATCATTTGAATTGATATACTATGCTTTACATATTTTGAATTATGGCATACATATTCGAACTATAAATTAATAAGTTAATTAATTATAAATAAAATTACTTAACATCAACGGTTTTTATCAATTATCAATTTTTCTTTTTTTTCTTCTTTATGGCGCAAGTTGTGCAATTCTTTTTTCTTTTTTGTAATGAGTATTAAAATAGAAGCACGAAATTTAAATTTGAGAAAAGCTAAATTTCAAAAAGGAAAAAGGAAAAGACAATAAACTTCGAAATGAAAGCAAATGTTTACTGTCACACAATTACATTCTTTTTCTTCTCCTTTTGTTTTTCCTTAATACAATTTTTGTTTACAAAATAAAAAACTTCAAAAGAAAACGACAAAATTTATTATTACTTTTGAAAAATGTCATACCTCAACATTCATTGATTTAAAATCATATTCCAATTCAGGCTGACATGTTTCATTTCCATCTAAAGTATAAATTTGTTTGCAAATATCAGATGAACTCATTGATGAATTGAATTTATACGCGCCACAACTTTTGATAGTTGGTGCTGCACCTAAAAAAAAGAAAATTTACAATATTTTCGCAATATATTATTAAAAAAACAATGAAATGATAAATTTTAATAATTTAAAAAATAAATAATTATTAAGTTTGTTTTAAAATTATTTTACAAAAATTATTTCATACCTGCATAAACCATATAAAACATATTACCAAGTTGTGAAAGAACTAAAAATTCCGTTGTAATACATAAAAAAATGGTATAATGCCCAAGTCGTATTAATCCATCAATGGTAAATATTTTTTCGGATGATGCCTGTTCAGCCATTTGATATGATATAATTGCTGTAAATATATGCAAATAAATTAAAAATGAATATAAATTTTTAATTTTTTAAATTTAACAATTAACAATCGTAAATTTGCTAGTCGTAATTTTTTGTTAGAAAAATTTGACAACTTATTAGATTAATATTTTAACTTGTGTGTGCAACATATAACTTGACCAATATTTTTAAATAGACCATTAATTTAAATTTAAATCAAAAATTACATTTTAAATTACTTTCACTTCCTAAGCAAATTTCCTAAAAATTTTTACTAGAAATTTGATAATAATTTGTTAATAATAGTTTCGATTTCAGCTATTTTTTTTTAAATCGTTAAAAACAAAAATTTTTAGTAGGCAAAAATATGAACTTTATGTTTATAATGAATAATATATCTTAGCAATATATGCTATACATCTAAATGTAATGGAACATAATTTAATTTATGTAATTTTTGGTTTTAATATAATATTTTCCTTTTTTTTTATTTATTTTTATTTTTTTCTAATTTTCATTCAATTATTCTTCATTTCTCTGATTCACTGAAATTTAGCGTTTTCCTTCTTTTCATGCATAAATTTTTTTATTACCCAAAAAAGAAAGGAAGAAAAAGGAAGTGATCTTATCATATCATACAAATGTTATGATCAAATATATGATACAATTTTGGTAATTTATATTTATTAGCATTGAATAAATCAATCGTTTAATACATAAATTATCAATTTTTCTTTTTCTTTAGAAAATGATTTTTGTAGAAGAAATAAATATAATAAAAAACAAATGAAAAAAAAAGTAAATAAATATCCTTTTATGCTAAAAATTCAGCAAATTTAATTGAATTAAGAGATAAGTTTAAAAGAAATTTCATTTCAAAGAATGAAAGAAAAGAAAAAGAGATGAAAAGTTAAGACAATAGTTTGGGTACAATGCAATGAAAAAAGAAAGAAACTGCAAATAGATTATTCCAAATTTTTAGTTTATACAAAGATAAATAATAAAATGCTAGCAGTTGATTACGATAACTTTTTGATTTTGAAATCCATTAATTTTCAAACGTTTAGAATTTAATATTAATCAAATAAATTAAAAGAATAGTAAATCATTAAGATTTTGCGTAAATGAATGGAATAAATAATATTACAATAAACTCAAAACAAAATGCATATCACATGTGATATGATAAGTGTAGAACTTGTTAGTTATTATCATAATGAAGGATCAGGCTTTTTCTAAATAAACAATAATCCAAAATTTACATTTATTTTATATTTAAAATAAATTAAGCTTATTGACTGAGAAGAAAGAATTTTTGCAAATATTAATTACACGTCGGAATTTTTATTTTTTACCAAATAATAATAACATAAAATTCAAAAATAATCTAAAAATAACAATGAAACTGGTTTTTCCACCAGTTTAAATCAATCTGTAAGAATAAGTAAACAATAAACATAAGTAATGAAAAAATGAAAGATTAAAATGCTAGCGATTTTGCAGGTTGACTTTTAGACACCTGCGCCTTTCATAACATTAATTCTGTTTGCATTGTCCGACTTATCTAATTTTTATCTAATTTTTTATCTAATTTTTTTTTTATTTCAGAAATAACGAATTAACCACTTCCTGAACCTTTTCTTAATTGCCGCCAATACTTATGTATTTACAATTTTCAACAGAACAACTGACAAATTCTTAACACTGCGGTTATGAACTTACATTTAAAAGAAAAAATTCAAACCGAAATAAGTTAGCGAAAGATTTGATCAAAACTCAAACAAATAATTTTAATAAACGAATTGTATACTTAATAAAATTGTGAAACATTATACAACATTACATGTTTTAAAAATTGTGAAAGTAACACATAATTGCAAAATAAATTTAGTTTGGAATTTGCATAATCAAATAGATTTAGCTATAACAATGGTGAAGGTAACGACATTAACATGGAAAAATATTAACAGGATTAACCAGATCAAAAGTCATACGATTCGGGGAAATGTATATTGTCAATCTCTCGAATGACAGTGACAACATTAGAAGCACATTGTAATATTTGTTCTGCTTTGCTGGTTGACTTTCATTGCTTTTTGTGCATTCCATTATGAAATAAACTTCTGAAGCGTTCCGCATAATTTCATTCAAAAATTTTTCACTTAATTTTTGTCAGACATAATGTCAACATTAATTGCTCGTTGCGCTCATTGATTAACATTTTGCACAGTAAGCGCAAATAGTTTTGATTGATTAATATCCAAAACAGAGGGATGAAATTTTCTTAATTTTTGTCACAGCAAAAAAGTGTGCCACTATTCAGCACGCAAAACTCATTTCCCTCTTAGACTTTTGCAATTAATTTTTCGTTTCGAATCACAACGCTCCTTATTTGACACGAATGCAACCGAACGTTCTAAAAAGCATTGAATACTTTTTCACTGCTTCCCATTCAAAGCTTTTGATAAATCTGTGAAAGTTAACTTTAGTGGATTTGGTGGACTTGCATAGTTCTTCAAGAAATGTGACATTGTTGTCAAAATAATATCAAATTGTTACTGTGTCAAAATCTTGAGTGGCGTTCATGTCATCAAATAATTCAACATTGCAAGAATGTACTAAATCAGCATTCCTGTTGAATCACAGATGCGTGACTAAAAAAGAAAAAAAAGCTGTCCAAGCCAAGTCAGTGTTAGACTTTGTTTAAGCCAATTAGTGTTACTTACCAAAAATACTAATCAAAGAAATGAATCACAGTGAATTTTGCAATTTCCAATCGGAAAAAAAAAAAAAGAAAAAAAAAACCGATGCAACAGTTGCGCAAACAAAAGACATTGTTTCTGTTTCACTCTAATTATATTATTTTTATTACAAATTAAATGTGCTTGTATCTGTCAACTGCATTTTCTGTATTTGTTCTTGGTTCATTGAACGTAAAATTATTTCAATCTTGTACCGTTATACGAACATATCACTAAGATAACACTCTCCCATGAGAAATTGTTCCTCTTTTTGAGAGGGAAAGAGAGACAGAGAGATTTATGACTTGAGAACATGTCATTATGATAAACTTTTCAGAAGTGAAAATTAATGATGAACTTGTCAAAACTAAAAGTTATTTGCTACAAACTATTTGTATTTTCTTTTAATTTTTTTCTTTATCTTTTCCTCCTTCCACTGAACTTATTCTTTCTGCAACTGCAAATTTCTCTGCCAAATGCGTATTTAAAAGTACAAATTTTCGATGAGTCAGACTACACGCAGAAAATCGCAACGTTTTTGAATTATATCTGTGTGTGTGTGTGTGAAGAAATTAGGTTCCTTTCATGGCGAAATACTTTCCTACATTTCCTTCCCAAATACTTTCCTTTTTTCCTATCAAAATGCCTCTGTGTTTCCCATAGTCATCGATAAAATCATTTTTGTGATGATTCGTTGTTCAGAAATTGAGCAAGTATTTAACTTAATGGTCAAAATCTGACAGATATGTGAATGCCGTGCCTTGTTTATTAGTGCAGTTATTTCCTAGAAATGTTAAAAAAGTAGGTGACACATTCGTAGTGGTAAAAATGAGATAGTTTGACAGATATCTGATTTTACTTATCAAATGTAATCACTGCCTATAAATGTTGCGGTTTACTCAAATTTTTGATTGATTGTATCATGGATACAATCAATCAAATTGTATCATTGCGTATAGATTACGTTTAGTACAGTTATTTACGATAAACATAATATAAGATAAACATAAAAATTTTATGCAAATAGAAATCTTCAGGTAATTGATTAAGCTCACAGTAGTTAATCGTCCTTTTGTTCATTTATTGTTAAAATGATGCTAAAATAAGAATTTTTTTTTACAAAATTTTCTTATTTCTCGAATAATATGAGGATTTTTAGTCCATTCGTTTGGAAATTTTCAAAAAGAAAATTGAAATTTCTTAATTCTTTTTAAATTCAATAGGGAAATAAATAAAGTAAAATATTACTTCTAAATATCGTTATCTGATAGAAAAAGAGAGTGCAATATAGAATAACCTCAAATATAATGATTTAGCATTCAAATTTAGCAGTTTTGATGTTTACTGAATTCAACTTTACATTGTATTGAAATTTGAATAATATTTAATTGCAATTTTATTTATCGGTAATCGTTCTCATTGATTGTTTGAAAAGTTCGTCATAGGATTACATTCCAATGTTCTGCTGCGTTGTAAAATTAAGTAACGTTGAATTTATTATTATGTATTTGGTGCTTATGGCATTTTAAAAGCAACAAATAAAAAATTATTTTAAATTATTTGAATAGAAATAATTTTTCTTTTAAAAAACCACCAATGTGATTTATTCCATTGTTCATTCAATCTACATATTATTATACTTCACACCACTACTTATATATCCATTATCTCATTTTTTTTTTAAATTTTAGTTCAATTATTTTTGCATACTAACAATGCATTTACCTGTGTATTTGTATACTATAACTTAGTGATGTAATAGTTTAGGTAATGTATTTACATGATTCGCAGTAATACCAATTAACCAATTTCTGAGGAACAAATTTGTTAGACAGTTACTGACATTCAATCTAATACTGTTCACAGTACTTCTTTTCAAAATATATGCAAAGAATTAGTGATATTATTGTAATTTGACAGCATTTTATTACGTTGATATGTTTTTCTTTTTTGAAAATAAAAGGATAAAATCATTAATAATACCGTAATTGAGTAAACAAATAGTTTGGATAAAAAAAAAATAGAAATGATTTAACAACAAAACTAGACTTAGGATATTTGTTTATTTGTTAGTCATTTCATTGTTTATTTTATTTTCAGTTATTAATTTTTTACATTCCTGTATTATTTCTGTCCTTATCCGATTGTGCAATGCTTTAGTTAGATGTAATTTATAGTATTAGTTACTTTTTATGACATTTATTGATTGTAATATGAGATTTATCGACTTCTATTATTAGCAACATTAAAATGTAGCTAATTTCAAAGTTCTCTAATTTTATATCTCAATTCGATCATATTGCAAACCACTTGACAGAAACATCCAAATCAGTCATACTAGCTATACACAATTGACACTTTTGTTTGAACACCTTGTCAACGCTCACTGGCTTGCACGTTTGTTTGCTACCGTTAAGCACCAGTTAGCATTCCACCTCTTCTCTCATCCCCTCTCTCACTCTCTCTCTCTCTCCCTATTTCTCTCTCCAGTTTTAATCCTTTTTAAATCTTTTTAGAGACTTATTACTACCATCCTGGAATTCCTAAACTGTTAAGAAAACTGCCCGAATCAACAATCGTCAATATTTTTTGAGAATTTATTCTTGAATTCATTACATTGCTGTATTAATTTAAGAAAAAATTGAGAGGAAGGGAGGAAATAGTTACGCAGATGCATGCAACTGCTAGGATCAATGATCAGAAATGACAGATTTGATATTTCTTATGTAAAGCTTATAAGCTTCATCGATATCTAAGCTAACGAATTTATTATTAATTAAAATTTAAATAATGAAGTACAATTCGTTTATCAATTAATAACAAACCTTCCTATTAGTTCTTTTTTGTTGAAACTTTAGATTTGCTTTCAAAAAGTAGAGATTCTTTATGAATAATGAGAATCAGAAGAATCGGTGATAATTGTTAGTGCATTTTGAAAAAGCCATAATATAAGGTTTAATTGATTATTGCTTTGAAAAAGAATGGTGGAAGAGCATTTGTTTTCCATACCTTTTATTATAGAATTCATTTTGCTTCAAAACATTTTTTTTCCCAAAAATCTTTCCTATTTCATTCCTTCATCCTTCTTATTTGTTCTTTTTTCTTTTGTTAAAATTTTAAATTTGCTTTCAAAATTTTCTTTCCTCCTTTTTTTCTCATTTTTTAACGAAAAAACAGGATTTCTATTATATTCGAAATTTGTTTTTTCGGAACTATTCTAAATATTGTTTGATTCATTTAATAATTTATGAATTTGGATTTTTGAAGTTCATTTCATTTACTAATCTTCTATTAGCTTAAATTTAAGCCAACAATCAATTCATGCACAATATTGGATGAATCTGGAGACTAACTTTTTTATTCATTTGTTTATATGAATGCTTCAGAAGTGCGACAGATAAAGAGAGATTTAAAAATAAAAAAAAGTTAAAACATGCCATTTTTTCGCAGATGAAAGACTTGGCTTACATCTAGCTATTATAGGTTGAATAATTTTTGTTATCTGTAATTTGTAATATTCCACTCTTTCTTCAATTCTAACAGATTATTATTATTATTATTATTATTATTATTGTTATTATTATTATTATTATTATTTTAGAAATTTATTAAATTTACTGGAAAGGTGATAATAATTTGTTTATCATTTTTATGCTTCTTTCTGATGTGTCTTTATATTTGAAATTTAATGTTATTTGTGGTTAAAAATAGCTCAAATAATTTCACAATATTTTTAAATTAACGAAAAAATTATTGGAATGAATTCACATTAGTCTTCAAAAGAATTTGATTTTTCTTTAGAAAGAGGCAAAAAAAAGAAATAAAAAACGAAGTAAAATTTTATAAAAATGTGTTTAATTTCGAGAATGCATTTGCTGAAAGTGTTTACTTAGGATGATTCCACCTTCCATTGCATTTCTTTTTTAATTCGAAATTGATTTATAAAGAAACAAAAATTTTTGTGCGATACTCTCTGTTTCATTGCATTTTCTTTTCATTCGGAATTGATTTGCACAAAAAAATTTCGATACAATTTTTTTTGAGCAATAAATATATAAATATTAGTGAAATAAGCCATTGCAATTGGAAAATTTTCTGAAATTTCATATAATTATGACATATTTCTTTCTATCATTTAATCAATTTTTTTCTAAACTTTCTTATCAGTGAACCTTCTTCTTTGATTAATAAAATTATTTTTTCAATATTATCTCAAATAGTTCTAAATAATACTTGTTTCCTTAGAATATTTTCAATTTTCAATAATAAATTCGAGAATTTTTTATCACTGGAATAAATAATGTACCGCCGTCCTGTTAGCTGGCAATTTGCACAAATCTTTATATGTTATTGTTTTAGTGTAGCACTAACGATAAGTCATATTAAACTTTATGCTAGAGATGGTGATATTGTTAATTTTATAGATTATATTCTTTTCAATATTTGTGGTGTTTTTCGAAATACTGAAGTTATTAGTCTTTTAAAATCTTTATATTCCGATTCTTTTTGATTATCATGAATTTATTGTTGTACATCATTTAATCAGTCCCTGTTTTTTCTAAATTTTAATCCTACTTCTAAAATTATAGGTTTTGTCTTTATTATAAGTAGATATTTTTCAATATCTTTGAAAACAATTATGCTGGATATTTTCCGAAATTTATTTTTCCAATTTCTTCCTAAATATAATTTGATTTCAACCTATTTGAGGTAACTTCTTGAATGTAAACAATAATAATGATATAAAACATTTAAAAAATGCTGTTTTTAATATATGTTTCCTTTTCGTTAATTTATTTTATTTTCTTATTTTTATAAAAATTCGCATTTTTTTGCGAATACAATGTATGATTTCACACCTTCAAACTTTTATTTTAATTTTATTTTTTTAACTTGTATTAATTCATCAATTATTCAAATTGTCTACATATCCGTTTATTTACGTACCTACTTATATAAATTACTATTATTGTAATTTTTATAATTAATTTTCAGGGTTTAAAGGATAAATAATGGTTTGGAAAACTTTTATCTGTCCCAAAAATAAAAAATGTGACAATAATTTAACAATAACAACAACAAAATCATCATCATCATTATTACCACCATTATCAACATTATCGTCATTACCACGATCAACATCAACAACAACAATAACACCAAATTTATCTTCTACAACTAATCATACTCACCATTCAAACAATAACAAATCATCATCTAATGAACGACCGTCATCATCACCTCGTCCACCTCCACGATTTCATCGACCCACACCACGATCATCATCACCATCATCATCATCACGATCATACTCTCATAAAACTGATAATAACACATCTGGTTACAGTACTTTAAACAATGATTTACCATTTTCGATGACACCTGCTGGACGTTTTTTCACTCATTTCTTTGATGAAGCTATGCAATATTTCAATTATCCAATGCATGATATTATTTGGAGCGGAGAATCACCGACAAAAAATTCATCAATCAATGAAGTATACTATTTTCATACCTATCCTTTAATGAAATTTATGAATTAATAATTATTAAATGATTACAATTAAGATTATCTTATATTGTTAATTAAGCTTTTTAATCATTAATTTGTTTTACTTATCAGTCTAACTATTTGATTACTAAAAATTATGTGGGATACTTTATATCATCAGAATAACTTTACGCTGAAATTATCGAAAATCATCGCAGTTATATAGTGTGAAATAAACATTTTATATCATTATGCAATGTATATGGCTTATAACTATATACAAATTTATTTACTTAATTAATTATTGGTTGAACTGATGCAATACTTTATTATCCAGTAAATAATGAAAAATGGGAAGTGATTAATGAAGATGCAATTACATTAATTAATGCTAACCTTTTATTTCTATTTTTTTTAAAAAAAATGACTTTTATTTTATTAACGACTCAGATAAAATTTTAGTTTTTCTTTTCCTAATGTTAAATTATAAGAAATAGATCAACTTTTTTTCTTTTTTTCTTTTTCTTTTTTTTTTTTTTTAGTAAAAAAGGCATAAATAAACTGAATTAAATTTTTTGTTGTAGGATTGCTTCAATTCTAAATGAATAAAATTTTTTACAAAATATATTTATATAAAATATACTTATGTTTTCTTTTTTTGCAGAAAATAATTGATAACGATGAGAAATTCAGCATCGAAATTGATTTATCCGATTTTCTTGCCGGCGAATTATTGATAATTTACAATGAAGAGGAACGTGAACTTTTAGTGGAAGGACATCGAAAAGAACGAAATGGTCGTTTTGGTTCCATTGAGCGTAATTTTAAACGAAAATTCGATATTCCCATTGATGTTCATGATGGATCTTTAGCTGCTTTCCTGATTCCATCCGGTTTGCTAACTATTCAGGCATTTAAAAAAGACAATAAACAGCCTACAAGACGAATACCAATTCAGGAAATAATTAATGTTCCAAATTCAACTGATCAAAATGCAGCCCAACTTCCAACATTTGAAAATATGAAAAATACAACAAACGAAACAAATAGCAATCCACCAGCGCAACCAAAATCAACGAATGCTTCAGAACTAAAATTTCGTACACCTGAAAAAATGTCTAAAGTAACAGAACAAATTCCAACAATTCAAAAATTTCAACAAGATAGAGAGAAACAACTGAATTTTAATGAGATGGGAAAGCTTAACACAGATTCAGGTATGAAACGAGAATATTTAAATATTTTTTGCTAATTTGAAATAAACTTGATGCATTGTTCTTTCTTCCTTATCTTATAATTAAATTTTATTATTATTATTATTATTATTATTATTATTATTATATTATATTGCATTATTATTATTATTATTATATTATATTGCATTAAAACTTATGTATATTACATATAACTAAACATAGAAAACTTCTATTCTATTTTTTATTATTATTTTTTTTATTATTTAGATATATCATGTAAAAATAATTTCGAGAAATTTAATATATTTATTTTTCTTTTTGCAATTTTTATTGCAAAAATTTTTTTGCATCATGTATTACAAATGGCGCAAATATTATTAAATTCTTATGTCATCTGATATGCCTATTTTTTATATTTATTGTATATGTGAAATTCTCGAATGATTTTGTAAAATTTTTCTAATATATGAATTAGCATATTGCAATTAGGTCATTACATTGTCTTAGAAATGATTTATTTCATAGGTTTTAAATGAAAGATTTTAGATTGTTTATTGCACTAATTTTTATTTATTTTATGTGTAAGTTGTAAAAATTTATTTTTCAAACAAATTTATTATTCAATAATTTTTTTGAACCATTTCTTCTTTCTTTTTTTCCAAATATTTTTAATTGTATAACAAAATCATATGTTTTGCTTTAATACATTTTCTGATATATGTCAGTTTTTTATGAATATTAATATTTTTTTTTTAGTTTATAAGTTGTAATCTAAATTTTGTTTATGAATATGCAATGATTCAATATTTCAATTTATTATCATTACATTGATTTGAAAATGAAATTCCTGTAATCGCATAAATTTATTATTAAATAAAAAAATGAATTTGTTATAAAATTTTGTAATGGAAATTATTTAAAACCATTAACATATGATAAGAATAAAAAATCATTCGATAGTTTATCGGCTATCATATATTTTTCAGAACCAAAAATTTAATCATTTAGTGATGATAAGAAAATTTACTGAAATATCAATGATATATGATAAAAATTTAAATTCTCATAAGATTTAAGTACATCAAAACAATATTGTCGCAGATTTTCCGGATTCCTCAACCAAGATTTGCATTTTCATGTTATCAAGAATATCATATCAGGTACGAGAGTGAAAGTGATAGAAGTTATTAATTGTTAAAATAAGTTATAATCAAAATAAATAGGTTATCCAAAAAATTGATAGTAGATATGATAAGCTATCAATATCAGAAAATGTGGAAAATTATTTGCTAATTATAATTATAATATTAGTACAGAATTAGCATTAATGTTTGACTGCCAGTTTAATTTTATGCAAAAATAATGGATTTTCATAACAATAATAATTTTTCATATCCAGAATTCTGTTTTACTTTCGAAAAAAATCAGAATTATGATAAACTATACTTATTTAAATTGATATACAACTAAACTAATATTACATCAAACCTTTTGAGCATGCTGAGAAATATTAATGAAATATAAATGGAATATTTGGTAATTTTTAATAAAATTATCATTTAAATTATCACATTGAATTAATGTGCCAAATAAAATTGTTAAACAACCAGATATTATTGTAAAAATGCAAATTAATTTTTAAAATAAAATAGCAAATTATTTGCTTTGGCAGAATAGCTAATATTTTTAGGGAAACGATTTTTTATTATCAATAATTACACAAATAATTATTTTTTCGTATTAATTATTTGGTAAATAAATAATTTCACAAATTAGTTATAAAAGGAAATTTTTTTATACAATTAAGTCTTTCAGATTTTGTAATAAATTTTGCTAAAATTTAAATTACAATTTAATTACTAAAAAAAATATTAAAATTAAAAATTTAATTGTTAAATAAAATAATATTTCTTTTTGCTCTGCAAATTATTAAAGCTCACAGCCCTGTACCTTTACAGGGGTCCGGAGGCCCGGTTAGCTCAGTCGGTAGAGCACCAGACTCTTAATCTGGCTGTCGCGGGTTCGAGCCCCGCATCGGGCTACGCTGACTTTTGTGAAAAATCCTAGTACTCTCTGAGAGAGCATCAATTATTTGTTTATGTTGCAGTGGAATAAATTCAGTAGGAATTATATGCATCAATGATTTATGTAAAAGATATTTATAATGAATGATAATTAGTTCTAATGTTTATATAAATTAAAACTAAATGAAACATAGCAACGGGATTTAACGAATTTTCGAATTTTTCATCACAAAAATTTAACCGAAACCTTTCAACCTTTCTATTTTCTTCCTTTTTTTTAGAAGGTAAGTTTCCTTTCTTTCTGTGAAGTGTTCTTTTATGTGTTTTCACTTAAAATTGAATTAATTAAGAAGCTATATTTAATTTACAAATTTTCAATTTGATTTTATTAAGAATCAAGCCAGTGATGAAGTTATGTTTAATTTATATCGCATGTTTTTACTTATATTTCCATTTAAGATTTAATTGCTATTCAAAGATTCATTTTTCCTTTTTTTTTTTCAGTTTTAGAGGATTAGGCTTTTATGATTGAAAGTTTTTGTAGAAAAATGGATGAAACGAATGTTACAAAGATGGAAACATTTGAAGATTTCAATAAAGTAATACAGTCAAATACTTCCGGAGATGGCATTGAAGCTGATGCCCAACAGGTTATCATTATTTTTATTTTTACATTCCTAAAGAGCTGCCTGATAAGTCTAATTTATCAGATTTCATGACTGCTATCACAGTACAAAATTTCTGGGTTTCGAAATTAATTGTTTAGTACTGAATTCCAGAATTGCTAAATTTTATCACTATCACTTGCAGTAGCAAATTTCAGTATTATTATACAATAATAGATTTGATAGATTTGAAATTTTACAATTACAAATTGTTTATCTCAACCTCTCAATAATGATTTTAGCAGAATTTCGAGGTTTTTTTGTTTGCTCACTGAAATAACTTTTGGTGTTTCGAAGTATTTCAGTGCGTAATTATTAACTGTTTTTATTTTTTTTAGGATAATATGTCAATCGCAGATATACTTCGACAAACTGCGAATGCATTTTTGCGTGATAAATATCTTCAAGGCTTTGAATTTCATGAAGACTATCAACTATATTATAATCCTGTGTCAGGCTATTATTATGATCAGGTAAGAGTATCATCTCATACATTCTTTTTCTTTTCTTTTTTGCTTTATTTCTTAATTCTAGGAAATTTAACAGTTTAGAATTTCTCATAAAATGTGTAAAACATATCTCAATTGAAACGATTTATTAGAGTTATAAGATTAGATTTTAAAGTTTCATACCATGCATTAATCACTATTGTCTTGATCAATATATATTTAGTGTCACATTTACAATCACATTCATAGTTTCTGTTTTAGCAATCACAACAGTCAGTTATAATTGTAATACAATATCATAACAACAATTACAGTGTTGATTTCCAAAGCTTACTTTTTCAGTAGTAGTCTTAGATAATTGTTCCATTATAATTATGATTAATGCTATTCTCATCATCATGATTATGATTGTAAATTGGAATTGTATTAACAATGATTTTTTTGTTCTCATAATTATGATCATTTTTATGATTACGATAACATATCACTTCCATTATTATGATTATGATCACAATTACTTTGATCTTTATGAATCTAAATTTTTAAATATATAATTATGATTTCAGAATACTGCTTTATTTTATCATCCGTCAACAAACTGTTACTATTATTATAATAATCAAACAGACAGTTATGTTTATTATACAAGAATTCCCTGTGAGCATATTTGGACAGATAAATTGGCTGAGCGAAAAGCGGTGGCGATGTTAGGTATATTTTCATTAAATATTACTATACCTCATGCTTATTTGACTTCTTATCACTCAAGAACACTACTTCCCATTCCTAGTTCCTTCCAGACTTTTCGAATTTCTAAGTATGATTTCATCCGATTGTAATTATAATGCGATTTTGTTACTGTTGTCGAGTAGTATAGATTCTGGAAGACGTATAATTTCATTCTGATGCCTTCTGATCAATTCAACTTCTGATCAAGTGATCAACCACCTTTCAGTTCGGTATAAAATTTGCAGGAGAATCATTCGCTGCAGGTATGACGCAGGATGAAGTAGATGTCTTTGAATGCTTGAATTCGTTGCTGAAGGTTGTTTTGCAGATATTTGATAGGAACAGCGTTGATTGTGACATATTGGATGATGAGATAAGTACTCATATCCAAGGTGGATTTTTTTTTTTCGTAACATATGGTATTTTAGTAGGAACATATGGTTAAATTGATAAATTAATGTTTTTCTGGTTGCTTCTAGAATCCCTCCTCGAAATTTATTTCTACATTTAAGTTTGTAAACGTCTTATAACAAACATTTGGCATGATAATTCAGTTTTATTAAGCTAATAATATAATACTCAAAATAAAATTCTAAAATAAAAAATGAGCACTGCTACATAGGTGATTTATCTTTTAAAAGTTTTAAATGTATTGAGTATAATATCATATTTTTGCATTCAAAATGATTGAGATTTCCCTTAGTTCGTCCACTTTTTTTTTTGTTTATTGATTTTTATTTGTTGATTTACTTTTATTTTTTGCAGGAGAAAGAATGGATTATGCTCCATGTGTGCGTATTATTGAAAAAACTAGCGGTGTGTTGCATGTAGTTACAATTACTGGTGCTAAAATTGGGACCACTCTGGACTGTGAAATCCGGTTATCTTCAGAGCAATTTTCAACGAGTGAAGTGATTTTTTTTTTTAAATCAATTTAATTTTTATTGATTTTAACATTTTTTCCAATAAATCCGTTAATCATAGTATTAAAAGAAAAAAAATTTTTTTTTTATTACACAGTATACAGTATCGTCTTTGCTAGTGGTCTGGATAGGTCAGTTCCTTTAGTAGTCATGAATTTCCTTATTACTTTTTTTTTTTGTTTTAATGATTCTCTACATTGAAATAATGAACTGAATTCGAATAAGAGTTAAATTCGAATTAAGAGTTAAATTTCGAGCGATATTAAGACTACTAACATAGTTACCTCACCTTCTAGCAATATTTTGTTGAGTAGTAAGTTCAATTTACATAAGGTTTTTATTCGTATAATATTTTTACTTGTTTATTTGCATAATATTGCAAAATATGTATTGATTCACATTTCTTTTTTAATTTGAATAGTCTCGAGCTATTCTTATCTTTTTTTTTAGTGCAGTGCTGTTATTAATTACAACGAAACGGAGCAAAAATATTTCATGACAGTCAACGGGAATGATTCAGAAGTTTTTCGTAATAAACTAAAAGTTGATATGGATGAAGTAATAGTAATAGATCATGGCGATGAATGGAAATTTGGAGAACAAGAATTCTTGGCTCATATCCATTACGGTATGAAATTTGGTCTTCTATTATTAGGATTTTTTTCATATACTTACTTATGACGAAAAAAAAAAAAGAAAAAGAAAAAACGAAATAAAACGCCAAGAACAAAATTGGATTATTGTAATGAAGGAATAATATAATAGTACTACATTAGTAGCTACAAAAAGTTTATTATTATTTTACAAAAATGGATTACTTTTATTGTATTAGCTAGAAATAGAGAAGTAGATAATATGTTTTTCTTGTTTCACTTTACTGAATGTTATAATGATGAATTCGAGTAATTGACTAAACGAATGGAATTATACATCTTTTTGTAAAATTTTTATAATACGAGCAAGAGATGACTTGTTCTTAAGTTTTCATTTATAGTGTGAAATTCCTAATTGTATTATATTTTCATCATCGATAATTATACCAAATTTTATCATATTCTTTATTAATAGAATGAAAGACCATGACGATTCATGAAAAGGAACTTATAAAATGTTACCTGAATTCTTTGGTAGTAATCAATATTTAGTTTTATCGTCTAAGGTTTTCAATCATTATAGGAACGAATACATGTGGCTCATGTGAACCTGGTTTGATAAAGCATGATCACATCATATTGCCGGAATCTGGTAATAATTCTTTAGCTGGGAAGATATCAAAAGAGACATTAAGACGAAGAAATTTGCGGAATATGAAGAAACAATATGGTATTTTTGATGTAAGTTCTATTTAGTTCGATTTCAATTTTCTTTTCTTCATAGTTTCATATCTTTTTGTTCTTTTTTATTTATATGTTTTGAAAGTATCATTTTTTCCTAAAGTTTTCAGTTTTAACTTCATCTAGGAGTTAATTTGAGAGAAAATCATTTTTTTAAATTAACACAACCAATGCAATTTTTCTTTTTTTTTTGCTTTGTATTTTATAATACTTTTCCTTTTAAACATTTTTTTTTCACCTTTTTATTTCACGTTTTTAACAATCTGTGAATTAAATTCGACATTTTGTTATTTTTTATCAGGATGGAGAAGAACATTACCGATGCAAGTATCAAAAGAAGGAACGAAATTTATTGGATAGAACTACTGAAGACAAAGATAAATCAATTTATGCAAATTGTTCGGCAAAACCTTTACCAGGTAGCTCTCATTTAATAGTTACAGGACAAACTTTAATAAAATTATATTTCAAACCATTCTCATAGCATTTATTGTGATAAAGATTTCAGTGGAAATTTTAGGAATGATTGCTGCATCGACAAATATACCTCCGTCATCAACAAAAGTGTTAAACGAAAGCAATCGAGGATTTAATATGCTTCAACGAATGGGTTGGAAACAAGGCACTGGTTTGGGGCGAAAAGAAGATGGCATTACAGAGCCGGTTAGTTCTTTTTTATTTTTGTTAAATTTAAAATATTTGATTTTCATTCAACTTCTAGCAAACGAACATTTTTTATGGTATATATTAGCGATATATGCCATTTATAAATTATGAACTCATTCCATCACTTTCCAGGTGATTAGTGAAGTTCGTCCTAACCGTGCTGGACTTGGACTCAAAAATGAAATCAAATTTGAATTATCGAAAAAGCAGGATAAAAAACAACATTTGCTGGAAATTACAAGGCAGCGTTTTCAAAAAGCTGAAATTTTTGCTGTGGATAACGACGAAAGTGATACAAATTGAAGTTTATTCAAATTTGATTGGTTATTTATATGTTTTCAAATTGGGTAATTCGTGAATTTGTAATACATCTGAATGCAAAGTTTTAAGTATCTTTGGGTGTAGGCAAATGAGATGTTTTGTATATTTGTGAATATATTTTTGATTCTTAGATCTAATGAAGAATATAGTTGTTGTATCAAATTTGAATGAAGAAAATTCAAACACTTTCTTGACATGTAACATAATGTTTGATTTACGTCGGTGATATCACGCATATGCTTCAAGTTAACTAGAGAAAATATATTTTATGTCTCAAATTTAAATAATTTATCTTTTCTCCGTTATACCATCTTGCATTTTAGGATAGGCAGCTGTTCGTCTTCGCATCGCTGATCCGAAGCATATTTCTTTCATCTTATCTATTTGCTCATCATATATTATATGCAAAAGTGATAAGGGTATTTTTAAAAAAAAAAAAAAAAATGGTATAAAAGTTATTAACTAGTTGAAATTCAGAAGCTGGATTTTCTCTTCGACTATATTCATATGGGCGTTTAAAATTATCGCAGTCTAAACAGAATAATCATTGGAAATGTAAGTTTTTTTTTTTATTTGGGCAATGATTCCCTTAATTTTTTTTCCATTTCTCCATCTCCGTCACAAAAAGTGTTCAATATTTAACAGTTATTAAGTATTGCTTATCTTTCATAATAACTAGCTATATCAGTAATCAGTGGAAAAAAACGCGACAAACGTTTTGAGATAAGTTATTATCATTTAATTATTTAATTGAACAATGATTAAGTTTTAAAAATTGAGTTATTAGAGCAATCATCTTCATATTCTACCATCAACAATAGTTATTCATGTTATGTCTTTTAAAAAAAAAAATTTCAAATTGATTGAGAATTCCTCAAATTATTTTTTGCATTTCAAATTGCAATGAATTGAAATACATTCCATAGACTGTATCTGTTGTGATTGCATATGAAATTTGACATCTGAGATCAGTAAATTGTCAAATTTCCTTTTTTTTTTTTACCAATATGAAAATGTTATTGTTTATAATATTAATAAAATGTATCAAAGATGTCATGAGATACATACGCATGGTTTATCATTTAAAATAGACCGGATTTATAAAAAAAAAAAATCTTTTTTCACACCGAATGCGCATATACAATTATTTCACCTTGTAATGCATCAACTTTAAATGGTGCCTTTGCATCGGTACAATCAGCTGTTACCTAAATCATAGATTTTATAATTTACCTATACAATTAAAACTATATCTATTGTTAGGTGTAATAAAGTCATTTATTGAACTTTCTTTGGTTACTTAAAAAATTCAAATTTTCTTAAAACAATCATTTCTCGAAATTTTGTACTTATGAATTGTTTCAACATTCCAAAACATTGTTGGAAAAAAGTTTAATTAAGAAAAGCAAAAATTTAAATTTCAACGCAATGAAATGGAGTATTCAAAAGCTAATAATTTCATAAAATATTTATAAAACGTATTGTTATTACATGAATAAACATAAATTATAGGGAAGAGAATTTTTTGAAAACATTAATAAACAAAGATAGAATGAAATAATATGCTTATGTAATATTAGACGTATATTCTTAATTAATTAAAAAAAGAAAAAAATGAACAAACAATAAATGTATTACTATTATCAAAAAAAGAAAAAAAAAAGTTAAAAGAATAAATAACAATAATAACCTCAGCATATTGTATAATAAAAGTATCCTCTCTTATTTCACCAGGTAATTTTCGTATTACAATAGGATGTATACTTTGTGGTTCAATAAAACCATAAATAGGCTTAAAACGATATTCATCATTATTAGTAGATTTAATTTTAAATGCTAAACGTGCCATACTTGTATTAATAAGTTTATGTACACAACTACCACCGGATGCACGAATTTGTACAGCACGTGGTTGAACCGTTAACATCTTTACTTTTTTTTTTTTTAAATTAAATAAATTTCTAATTTATTTTATTATTAATCAAAAAAGAAAAATGTTTTTTCGTTTTTTTTTCTTGTTGCAAAAATTTTGCATAAATAAAATGCATTATAAGATTTGAATCATTTTCAATTCCTAAAATTTTATTGCTTAATGTTTGTGTTATTTTAATAATCTTATTATAATGATGCAATGTTTCCTTATCATCTTATCACACTATAGGATACGCTCTTATCTTTTCATAACTATTTTTTTTTTTTTTTAATTTCACATTTCAAATTATCTTTTTAGATGAAAGTATTTTTTTTTTTTTGTCTCATATATGAAAAGAATTTTTTTTCTTTTCATATAACTGATAAAGATAATTCTGATTCATTTCATTTTTTCTCAATAAGTCTTTCATAGTATTATGATAAGAAATTTTGAAAGCATAAATGCTAATAAAACTACTGAAAATTTAATGTTAAATAAAGTTTGCATTAAATTTTGTTTATTATAATTCCACCATATTTTTTAAAATGGAACACTGCTAGTCCCTATCTTTTGCACTAATTATTGCAGATGAACCAATTTCATTCCCTTCCTTCCCATTCCTCTCTTTTCCCCATTCATTACCCGAGAACTATTTTATAACCAGAATTTCCCCGTGATTCACTATTTCGCTATCATAAAATATGAGTTAATCGTAATAATATATACCTATTTTTCATTCAAAAATTCAATATCTCTTACTATACACATCTATTTCATCAATAATTACTCAGACAGTAGTGCCAAATATTTTCTCAATATCAAAATTTAAAATTTAAGGAAAAAAAAAAACAAAATTTCAAAAGATACTTTTTTTCCAAACTTTTTTGTCTATTTGTTTAAATTTGTTCCGGCTAATTAATTAATAATGGTCATATATTTCAAGTAAGCTTCTAGCTATGTATAGCATCATTTAAAAACTTTTAATATATGTACTGTAATTCTTCAAAGAAATGAAAAGTTGAATAATTTCAAAATTTCAATATGTTAAATTTCATTTGATTGTTAGAATATTGTATAATAAACAATTGTTTATTATCTTAACTGCACTTATTTAATTGCACAATCAATTTTATTTACATTTTCCTTTTTTAAATCAGCTTTTCCGTTTACTGTTACTGTCAATTTTTGGTGAGTTTAACTTTATTGTAGTTATATTTTTCCAATTTTAATTATTTTTCAACTTTTCAAGAATGAACTATGTCTTTCCGTTTATCTTTCCGAACTCGGTCATCTTCCTGAAAAAAATTAGACATACCTCATCTCAGATTTCTATTTTCTTCAATGTGTATGCATGCGAGAATAAAAAGAAAGAAAGAGAGACAGAGGGAGAGAGAGAGGTAAGAGGAGGGAAAAGAATTTAAAAAATTACATAATTTTCTTGAATTTAAGTTATTTATTTGCAAAAGATGAGATCTATCTATGATATATTTCTCAGTATTCTTAACAAAAATTACATTTCAAAGTAGAAAAGAAATAACAATCCAAAGAGCTACAAATTAATCTATCGAAAATGAAATTTAAAAACTTAATGTTTATTCGTTTGGTTCTTTTTTTTTTGAAAAAAAAAGGCCAATATGCAAAGGTTTGCCCATAGCTGAAGAGATCATTAAATGCAGTATTTTTATTCTAAATAAAAACCCTTTTAATTTATTTTCGTTTCATTTGAGGAAAAAAAAAGGAAGAAAGATCAATAGTATAATTTGGGAAATTATAAAGAGAATAACATATTCAATAAAGAATAAAAGAAGAAAAAAAAATAATGTTCAGCAGTACAATTATCCAAAGGAAATCATAAAAACGACTAAATTTCAAAAAGTATATCAAAAAAGATTGTAAAATTTTTCATGAAATAATTCAAAATTAATCCAATATCCTTTAATGCAGGAAATGTGATCCCTTTTCCTGCGTAAGTGATATTCTAACATTTGAAAAATTTGCTTCATTGCTATAAAAATAGCAATCATATTGCAACCACCGAATGTTTATAATACTAAAATTGTGACATAATATTTTAGCACTAAAAAAAAAAAAAAAATTATGGAAAATGGGAAAAAAAAAATCGGTTAAAAGGATAGATTAATAGGAGTGATGGAAAAAAACGAATTGAAATTTTAATCAAAAAAAATTGATCTTAACAATTGATCAAAAAATTAATACGATGAACTGATGCGAAAAAAAAAGAGAAACTTAACTAAAAATTGCTTAATAATAAAGATAAAACTGAATGAATGATTTACTGGAAAAGATTAAATAAAAAAGAAAAACAAAAAGAAAAAAGTGAACGAAATAGAAGACCGGAAGAATGAACCGGAATGGCCTATATTTTCCGCTACATCATATCGTTCTTATCATACATGCTCCAAATACATGAATTAAGATGGAATAACTTCCTTGTTGAGTTGGGCAAATAATTGGGACATACATTTTTCAATGCGTCTCTTTCACTCGCTCAGCAACTAGCACGTGATGAAATGGTCGATTCTCGTGTTCAATTCATCTGTGCTGAAAGGGTTTTTTTGTTTTGGACGTGACTTTTACGTGTTTTGCGCAGTTTACGTCAGTTAATACCAGCAAATAGTGACAAAGCGCCACCAGAAGCATAGGTAAACAAACAAATGGTATTGAAGCAGCTGGATTTCCCGCGGGCCAGAAGCCTTATTTAATGATGCCATCGTGGGATTTAACCCGTTAAAAGTTCTCCCTTCCCGTAGATACGTTCTCAAGAGTGGTGGGCATTTTGCTGTAAATTATACGTTTCGAGAATTAATCATGTCAAATGCTTGCGATTATCTCGGGGATAATGTAACTTAACGTATGGTAAAGATGTATCAAGTGGCATTACATGCGGGAAATCCGGATAAATACCACGAAGGTAACCATTTCTTATTGCTGTTGATTTGATGCAGTTATTATCACCGTTACCATATAAGCACAGAGATATTAACATTATATTTGCTTATAAGTAAGTTTGTATAACTTGGACCATCATAATATTTGGATACAACTGAAA